GTGCAAAATTATAAGTGAAAAAAATGGTGAAATGTGTTTCTAAATATCCCTCCCCCTTGTCAGATCCCATCTTGATATGCTGTAGAAAAAAGGGGGGGGGGTATATTTGTGCTCTAATGATACTAAAAAATGAAGGAAAAGAATTTTAATGTAGTATATTTGAATAACAAGAGTAATTCTTATCTGCAGTAATTTTTTTTTAAATTTCTTGAGTATTTTTTTTTATTATTATCTGAGTAAATCCTATTAAAACATTATTATTTTTAAGCTATTACATAACAAATGCTTATAAAAAATTCAAAAGATGGTGTAAATAATAATTAATTATAATATAAATTACTACATGCATGTATCAGTATGTTTTAATAAAATAAAATGCATTTCAGCTATGCATCATCAAGAAGGAGAAGTTTAATGAACCCTCCCCTCTTACAATGAACAACATATGGACACTCCCAGGATGAACACTTTGCATTCATTAAGAGTTCCCAGGTATGGTTTTCTTAGCAAATCTAGTTAATCTCTTGATATTTAAGTTATTTAGAACTTTTTAAAGATTATTAGAATATAAACTTCCTCAGAACTGCAGTTATTTAAGCATTTTGCTTACAATTGAGCCCTGTATTCAGACAGACAACATGATTTATCTGCCCTTGGCATTTAATCAATTTAATAATTATGTCAATAATTAGAAATGATATGCAAATAAATATATTGGCCTTTCATGAGAATATACATATTTAACATTTATTACATGAAATTTCCTATAATAATGGCTAAAATGTAGGTCACCCCCTTCAGAATTACAAAATTTTCAGTGGGGGTGTATTTGATTCTCTGATGCCAGCAACCCATTCCTGATATACTTTTTTTTTTTAAATCTAATGTTCTTTTAAATCAAACACAATTCTCTTTCTTTTCATTGATTATTTAATCTACATTAGCTTTTCCTCTTTCCATAACTGAGCATTTTCTTACAAAAACCTGCTGATTTTTTTCATTTTTCATTTATACCGGGTACCTGATACCCTTATTGATTAACATGATCTGTCTTAAGAGATTATGAGAGATAATAAGAAAAACAAGCAAAACATGTGCTAGATTAATCATTTTATTTCAAAATTTTGAAAGAAAAGTGGAAAAATGCTTCAATTTATAGACATTTTTTCTATTTCACATGTATAGGTCTGATTGACTGGGGTGTGAAATGTAACAGCCAGTGGTGTACTTCAGCTAGGACTGTCAGTCCCTATATTCATGAGGTGAGATAACCGATGGATATGTGTTCTAAATGTACTAAATTGACCACTTTTTACAAGTGTTTTCTATATCTCTATAGGAAAAACACCTACATAACCTTATACATGGGCGCAGACATTTTGGACACCCAAAGTTGTGCGGAGAAGAAAATGCTACACGGCACATGATTGGTCATTAAGAGAAAAGACTTGTTATGTATTTGACAAGTGAAATAAAGGTGATAAAAATCTCATATCAAGACTTAGGCTTCTTTGAGATATGTAGGAGTTACAGGTAAAAATTTGAAGGGAGGGGTGCACTTTGGTTAGAGATTTTCATTTGGTGCTGAACGCACCTAGTTGTAAACAAATGGAATTTGAAAGTAAAAGTGCAACGGCACGGTATATTTTTTCTGGCATGTTTTATTTTGCAAGATCTCGAACTTTCACGGCAAGAAAGTCATTTGCCCAAAATTGAATATATGAATCAGTGACAGGGGCTAAACTTTGTATGGAAGTCTATGGGAAAACATTTGGTGGTGTTTGTCCTATAGAGTAGGTATGTATTACATAGGTAAACGTTGATTACAGCCAGAAAATCAATCAATTCCTATATTTTTGGCATTGGGATTATACTTTGGTTAATATTTACTATCTGTATAGAAATCAGAGGGTTTGGGTAAACTGAGGCCCCCAATGGGGACTCCACATGGTGCAAAAATGCCAAAATTTTCCCCCCTAGCTATCACATTTGCAATAAATGTACATGTAAATAATTTTTAATGAATATTTATGCTGAAATTTACTTGGAATGTTGTAAATAATACAATATTGATAATTATTGGCATCATTAATACACAGAATAGATGAATATCCCCCTCGCAGCTTGAGAAATTCATTTAAATCCATGTGTTTTATGAGTGTAGACATTGGTATAGATTGACTAAACATCTTCCAAATTTGTGTTAATCAGAGTTAATGGAATAATTCTTAACAATATTTGACTGTTTTGTTAACTAAATAGTTTACTTTGTTTTGACATAAGGGGCCTAATCCAGCTGCAAAGCAGATTTCAGTCATCTCATTAGTGCTGGTTTGAAATAAAAGTTGTGCTTTTGGTGTAACTGAGAGGTTACTAGTAGGATATCTTATTAAAATTACTGTACAATATATTGCAAAAGAAAATACATTGAAAATGCAAGAAATGTGCAAAATTATAAGTGAAAAAAATGGTGAAATGTGTTTCTAAATATCCCTCCCCCTTGTCAGATCCCATCTTGATATGCTGTAGAAAAAAGGGGGGGGGGTATATTTGTGCTCTAATGATACTAAAAAATGAAGGAAAAGAATTTTAATGTAGTATATTTGAATAACAAGAGTAATTCTTATCTGCAGTAATTTTTTTTTAAATTTCTTGAGTATTTTTTTTTATTATTATCTGAGTAAATCCTATTAAAACATTATTATTTTTAAGCTATTACATAACAAATGCTTATAAAAAATTCAAAAGATGGTGTAAATAATAATTAATTATAATATAAATTACTACATGCATGTATCAGTATGTTTTAATAAAATAAAATGCATTTCAGCTATGCATCATCAAGAAGGAGAAGTTTAATGAACCCTCCCCTCTTACAATGAACAACATATGGACACTCCCAGGATGAACACTTTGCATTCATTAAGAGTTCCCAGGTATGGTTTTCTTAGCAAATCTAGTTAATCTCTTGATATTTAAGTTATTTAGAACTTTTTAAAGATTATTAGAATATAAACTTCCTCAGAACTGCAGTTATTTAAGCATTTTGCTTACAATTGAGCCCTGTATTCAGACAGACAACATGATTTATCTGCCCTTGGCATTTAATCAATTTAATAATTATGTCAATAATTAGAAATGATATGCAAATAAATATATTGGCCTTTCATGAGAATATACATATTTAACATTTATTACATGAAATTTCCTATAATAATGGCTAAAATGTAGGTCACCCCCTTCAGAATTACAAAATTTTCAGTGGGGGTGTATTTGATTCTCTGATGCCAGCAACCCATTCCTGATATACTTTTTTTTTTTAAATCTAATGTTCTTTTAAATCAAACACAATTCTCTTTCTTTTCATTGATTATTTAATCTACATTAGCTTTTCCTCTTTCCATAACTGAGCATTTTCTTACAAAAACCTGCTGATTTTTTTCATTTTTCATTTATACCGGGTACCTGATACCCTTATTGATTAACATGATCTGTCTTAAGAGATTATGAGAGATAATAAGAAAAACAAGCAAAACATGTGCTAGATTAATCATTTTATTTCAAAATTTTGAAAGAAAAGTGGAAAAATGCTTCAATTTATAGACATTTTTTCTATTTCACATGTATAGGTCTGATTGACTGGGGTGTGAAATGTAACAGCCAGTGGTGTACTTCAGCTAGGACTGTCAGTCCCTATATTCATGAGGTGAGATAACCGATGGATATGTGTTCTAAATGTACTAAATTGACCACTTTTTACAAGTGTTTTCTATATCTCTATAGGAAAAACACCTACATAACCTTATACATGGGCGCAGACATTTTGGACACCCAAAGTTGTGCGGAGAAGAAAATGCTACACGGCACATGATTGGTCATTAAGAGAAAAGACTTGTTATGTATTTGACAAGTGAAATAAAGGTGATAAAAATCTCATATCAAGACTTAGGCTTCTTTGAGATATGTAGGAGTTACAGGTAAAAATTTGAAGGGAGGGGTGCACTTTGGTTAGAGATTTTCATTTGGTGCTGAACGCACCTAGTTGTAAACAAATGGAATTTGAAAGTAAAAGTGCAACGGCACGGTATATTTTTTCTGGCATGTTTTATTTTGCAAGATCTCGAACTTTCACGGCAAGAAAGTCATTTGCCCAAAATTGAATATATGAATCAGTGACAGGGGCTAAACTTTGTATGGAAGTCTATGGGAAAACATTTGGTGGTGTTTGTCCAATAGCTCGGTGCTTCAAGACGTTTAATTACGTTGCCTTTCTTGACAGTGTTTTTATGCATTGGTCGCCTATAATTGGCGATAAAACAGTCATATCTTTTCTGATTTAATTCAAAATTTCGTCGATGTTTCACGAATATTTTTGACACAGGTGAATTATCATAAATTCTTATGCACTACAACAGTGCAATTTTTAATTTCCAAAAAATGCCTATGTAATGTAAACGTTCAAAAAAGTTGCATGCTCCGTGAAGCATGTTTTATCTAAATAATATAGCTCATTGATCTTCGAAAAACACCAAACCTTTGCATATTTATTGGAAAATACATACAGTTTTTATCTGCTGAGTTTTAATGGTTTCATGCGAATAGCGCGCTCACAATAGAACTTGTCTGCGAACTTTTTTAACAACCCTCGTATAATTATTTTGCTTGATTAAAATATATATGTACACTCCCGATGTTTATTTATTTATTTATTTATTCTCATGTATGACCAATATATTACAGCTGGATGTACATGCAGTTATCTTCTGAAGGCACCAACAATGCAAGGTAAATTACTAACTTTGAAAGAAATGGAATAATAATATGAATTGACATCATTAAAGTAAAAAAAAATGTATTTTTTTTATGGCAATGTAGTTCTCTTATAGGTATGTACATTATATACATTTGGTATTCACTACATTAATAAAACATCACCCAGCTGCTGACGGCTCGAGGAGAACCAGGTGAATCGAGAACCAAACAATCACCATACTAGGGGTATACGCAGCTGCTGTCAAAGGAATCATTATCGAAGCACTGGGCCTAATTCTGTGTATTACAAGGACCTCGGCAGGTATCTACTAATTTTTAGGGCTTCTGGTCTCTAGGTGACCTATTCAGGGGTTCAATGACCTTTTTGGGGATAGGGTCCTGTACCCTTTTAATTGGAAAATTTAATTTTTAAAAGTTGCAAGATGGAAAAATATTGATGACGTATTAAGTTTTGCTGTAAAAAATACAGATTTATCCTCTACTCACATCTTTATCAACTATTACAATCTGAGTATTGAGATTTTTAATAAAACCACTGAAAAATTCTATCTGCTTATCATTTGGGAATTGTTTACCTTAATTTGTGGGAGAGTGGGAGGGGTGAGTCATTTTTGAATTGGGACTGTGTCTCTTTACAGAACCCCATGCAACAGATATTAAGCATGATATTGCTATCTATTCTCGTCATTTGTTTTGCGGGTTTGTCGGAGTCGTTCGTTACCTTTCGAACATTTTCAGTTTCTCAAAAATTATTGGACACAGCCAATTTTGATATATAGCAAAAATTAAATTTCATGGTCCTAGTCACTTTTGGGCCAAAACCATTAAAAATCATCAATCTTCTAATATCTTTTTTTACTCCTAGAAATCAAGCATAATGAATGATTACATAATTATTTTAAGCAATTATCCCCAACCAAAATTGTAAAGTGCATGGTCTAAAGGTTCATAGTTCAAGGCCCAGGGTAGGGTACGATTGTTATATATTGATATACCATTTGTTATATATATATATATGTGTGTGTGTGTATAAAAAAAATAATTCATAAAAGTATGTTTTTTATATATTATTAATACAATCATTTTCGTATTGTTTAAAATTAATACAGAAAAAATATATTATTTTTGTATCACCAAAAAATAGGTAGCTTATTTTTTTTTTTTTTTTAAGAAAATTACGTACAGTTAATCTGTATTATTTTTGTATTAAAATTGAAGTTAGTAATTTTACTGAAAATTACTTACAGTTAGTCTGTATTATTTTTGTATTAAATTTGGACTTAATAATTTTTCCAAAAGATACTGTACAGTTAGTATGTTTTTTTTTGTATTTAATTTGGACTTAGTATTTTCTTTTACTGAAATTTGTATTTCTTTGAACTTAGGAAAATTTACAGAATGACCTTGCAATAAGTCTGTTGAAATTAATATTTTTTCTCAGATTTTATTAATTAAGACCACTATCATGACTACTTGGCTATAAAAGGTTGCTTTTATACTATTTACATTTAATTGATATTTAGAACAGAAAACTTCAGTAGTTTAAATTTGTTATCTAAACAATTTCATATTTCTTCATTTTTTTAAACATGTCTTTACTAGGTGTGAAATTGTCATTTGGAAAGGGATAGATATGTCTAAGGGGACACCTGTGCTGTACATGATAGTTACTGTTGTAAACACGCGGTAAATTTTGAAGTTTCAGAGTTTCAGACTTTCTTCTAGTGTTGAAAATTTTACAGCGTGTTTACAACTATCGCCAACAGCACAGGTGGCCACTGCAGGCGGGTGTGTTCCCCGAACGTCTACTGGACTAAACCAACATCTAATTATCACACTCAATTAAGGGGCCCTCTAAGGGGTACAGGTACAGTCTACAATCATTTATGAAATAGCTTTACCTGTATTTTTTAAAGGGAGAATTCTACAGCAACAATAATTTTTGGATCTTTAAGGCATCTCTTCTGAAACATGATTTAAGCACGGAAAGATTGATAAAAGATATTTATTGTTTTACATGATTTTTTTTTTTCAGGGGAAATGTAAAAATCTTGAAGATTTTATCCATTAGTTTAAAAAAAATGCTTAAAAAATGTGTTTTATTTTCATAAATAATTATTTAGCAAAATTTTAAAAAAGCTTATCTGATTTTTCTTGACATTTTTTTTTTATTAAATATTTATATTACAGTACATGTATGCATTTATTTGGGGCAAACTTTAAACTATAAAGGATTTTGTTTGCAATTAAAACAATCTTTCATTTTCTCCTTAAAAAGCCCCCAAAATTCATAAAAAATGATTTAAACTTATATCAATCTTTTCATACTTAAGTCATATTTCAGAGGAGATATCTTAAAGATCAGGTAAATAAAATTTCCGTGAACCTGTAAGTAGCATTCTTTCTTAAACAGGAAAACTCGCTAGATCATTATATCATTTTCTTTTCAATATATATTATTAAATGAGTTAAATAAATTTTGCTTTAGATGCTTTTAATTTAATTTAGTTTTAATCGCCGTTTCAAACCATTAATTTTAAATATTATAATTTCAAAATCTTTTTTAGTTTGCATCATAAAATCAAATCTCAATAGAATTTATTTTGGTATAAATCTATCAAGAAGCGTAAGATACGATTATTTGATATATATATATATATATATATATATATATATATATATATATATATATATATATATATATATATATATATATATATATATATATATTTCGAATTTTACCCCCACCCCCCAATGAAATTGGGTTTTGGACAATATTTTTAAAGGTAAGTTGTCAAAATTTTTTGCCCCCCGCCCCTTTCAAAAACTATACAACATGTCTGAATTTGACGTAAATAAAACGGTGCTAACTTTAGATATTGCTTCCATACAAACAGGTAGCTATATGGTTTGAACAGTGGGGGCGAACAATAGGCGAGTACATGTTATACTACTTGTAGAAATAACATGATTTACCCGTGTAAACACATCCCAACAAAAAAAAAGAAAGAAAGAAAAAAAAACATGGAGAGTTCCACTAATTACAGTACCTACGATGTTTTCTTGACTATACAAATCAATTTCGTATACATTATTTTTAATTCAGTACGTATTACAATAACATGGAATAGAACTATTTTATTATCCGCTTTAAAAAGAAAATAAATAAGAAATTATAACGAAAGAATTTCATAAAATAATATAGAAAATGTTGTGAAATTAGTGTAAAGGATAGTTGTTAAACATTATTTCAATCTCTGGTACCGTGCGTATGAGTTAAATTGTCCGTCAAAAAGACTATCTTATGTATCTCCCGCTTGTTTTGATAATTATATTTGAACTTTATGGTCTACTTCACAGGTCAACTTGAATACAAAAATGGCTGCTGTCAGCGGAAATGATGACCGACCGCAAATAACGATGTTTCGTAATCGGTAAATTCCGTAAGGAATAAAAGAATGATTCTGACGATTAAATTGAACATCGTTTTTTTTTTGTAACATAATTTTAGGTTTGTTCACTTGATTCAAGATATTTAAAACCTAGTTAGAATAATCTAACTGTGTCTCGGGACAGGCCCTCACCACAGTATATACCCGTAATGTAGCAGAAAATTGCAGAATCGCTCCGAAACGATTTTGGAGAAAATTAATGAAGTTGCATTGAAAATAACAGTCAAATTAATCATAAAGACTGTAAATTCCTTTCATCTAAAAATTTTCCATATAATGGAAGAATTCAACACTTTTTCACCAACGTTTTTTACTCGTTTCACATTTATACACCATGTTGACATTCGGAACTCTCGGGATTTTTCATAGTGAATGCACTGAGTTAAAGTTATCTCCTGTATTTTCTATGCTACATTGACAATACACGGAACGCATTCTTTCGTTAAACCGGGTCCGTAGGACATTTATCATTTTAACGATAGAACATTCTATCTATTTAAAACCGTGTAAATATGTTTTCTCTAACTGTTCCGATTTCAACATCGGTAATTTTCGTATATATGACACAATTTGATTGGTCAGATTTTAAAACTCTTCCGTACTCTTCTCTGATTGGTCAACAATATTTCACCCACGCCATTTTGAAAATTCTTCCCGGGACGTGTTGAGAAAGCTTGAGGTGATTTTGAATAAACTAGCATTTGCTCGCGAGTAAAATGGATCGAAAAACAGAAGTTCAGCATAATCATGATACACAGGATCATATTTATGAACCAAGACTTCTTTATCGAAATTTTCCCGAACTTTTTCGTAGACCTCTGGCTCTTCCCTTAATTCTGTAACATTCGGAACTCGAGAGTTACCCGCTAGGTGTCGTTTCTGCGTCACTTCCGTAATTTCTACTTTGACATTTCCAAATCTTGTAGCATTTTTCACGTTTGACGATGATTTGGATTACTGTGGAATGCCTGGGCAATTAAATAGCACGATTAAAGACAAAAATATCTACCGAAACAAGATATAATGACACATTTTGGTGACGTGTAGTAGGTATATGATATTTTAGGCCCGATATCCAAGAGGGGTCCACTGTTAACAAATGGAAGTGACTTACCTTTTCTATTTTATAATACCACGGGTATGATTTTTTAATAAAACGTTAATTCTACGATATTTTTTTGGATTTTTCATATACATTGTAAATGTGTACTAGAAGATTAATAAATGGAAAAAGACGAACAAAAATATCCTTGGACCAAGGGTGTATATTCGGGGAGGGGGGGGGGTCCTGTCCACAAGCACCTGTGAGGAGAACGACTGGTAAACAGGCAGATTTATTTTACCTGGTTTTTGCGTTTAAAGGACTATGCTGTTGACAGTGAAAAAAAATTCTTCTTATCAGAAGTCGTCCGTAGTTAAAAAAAATATATTTGCACAATTACGAAAATGCTGTGGAATTGTAGCCCTCTCCAGAAAAAATCAGATTTAAAAAAATCGGAGAGGGCTACATTATTGCAGCTATATAATTCTATATAGAATAAAGAATCTTTAAAAAAAAATATCAAGTATTCGAATTCATGAAAAAATATTTTGCAGGAAGTGTTAAATGTTACCAGTCACATCAGCTGACACCAAAAAAATAGGGTACATGTACGTACTGTAGATTCCTTATTTTTTCGCGAGTACTTATTATCGCGAAATGGCTCTTAAGCGTCAAATCGCGAGAACAATAATTCGCGAGTAGACGGTTCATCAAGATACTTTACATTGATTTCAACAACATAAAAATAAAAGCGAGTAATTTTATTTCGCGAGTGGTGCTTCTCGCGGAATTACGCGATAATTAATTAATCGCGTATATTTAGGAATATACAGTATACGGGATTTTCTGATTTTTTCCATCCGCAAACAGGAATACCCTCAAAACCACGTGTTTTCAATGTGTTTGTAAACATCTTGTGTGCACCCCAGGAAGTGGCCTTCTATGCCCTGAAAGAAATAGTTCCTGTCAAAAACTTTTAATATTTTACAAAGTACATAAAGTATCACAGATACCAAAAATGCAAAAATAGAATAAGAGAAAATATAAAATTTCTCACAATAAAAAAATATTTCTTCATTATCTGTAGAACTACATTTGATCAATTACCGGTGTGATACCATCATTAGGCAAACAGTTTGTCTGTTTGATGCCTATGAGGAAGAGGATTTTATAAGGAATGATGCATTAATTTTCAATATATGACCAACTTAGCAACACCATGGAGCCTTAACCATTAACCGAAGGTCAATGAAATTTACAATTTTGGTAAAGGGCTCATGATTTATTTAATCATGGCAAGAATTTGCCTGTTAGTTATCTAGGAGTAAAGAAGAAGACTTCGAAAGATTTCAATAATCTTTTACAGTTTTGGACCCATCACTCAAGGATGTAGGGACCAAGGATTTCGCAGTTTTGTTTCCTTTTACCAATAAATGCTATATGCCAAAATTGGTTAAAATTGGTTCAGCCATTCAAGAGATTCGAGAATGTCCGACCGACGGACAAAAACAGTTAGCAATAGGTTACCTTTTTTTTTTTTTTTTTTTTTTTTTTTTTTTTTTTTTTAGGAAAAAAATCCCTACAAATCCTTTTGCATTTCTTGGTTTTAAAAGAAGAAAATTAACATAACCTTAAGCTTTTATTAGTCACATCTACGTTTGTTATTTCCGTAATTTAACAATTCTTGGTGTTGCTTACATTGTACAAGTTTCTTCATTGAAAATATGAAATTCGCTAATAGCCATTTATTTGAGATTTAAAAAGGCACTAAAAGGAATAGAGTGACAATTTAACCAATTTATCCACACAAAAAGTACATTAAGAGGCAAACGCTTATACACTGACGATATTCCATTCTTACGACGGAATCTAGTAACTATGTTGTGATAATCTTTAAAGTATTGGGGGGGGGGGGGGGTTCCAGTAGCAAAACATAGACGCTGCCATTTTTCAATAATATTGAGGGGTAGCCATCTCTTACCCGCAACTCCTCCTAAACCATTAAATAAAAATTAATGATACTTTCACAGAATCTTTGTTACATAGTGTCATTGTGCACCTCCTATTTTACTTTTTGATCTGACACTTATTTCGGATTTCCCATAGCAAAATATGGACTTTGCCATTATAAACATATGGACGGTGGGTATGACTTTGTGAGCTCAGTGCCTACAGTTCCTCTGGTTTAAATTGTTTAATTTTTGTTTAACTTTGTTTAACATGTTTTATTTCTAAATACTATGTTGTGACCTTTACATTTAATCACTTACTAGGTAAATGCTTTACATTAGTTGCTGCCAGTTTCACTAAATATGGCATATTTCACACCTGGTTAAATGTTTCAAATCATTTTTTTTGTGTAGTTTCGGGTTTTCCATTATTGTTGGCCATCGACGGATACCATGAGAATCTGCCGTTGGAAGTACAATCGAATATGGAGGCAACGTCCCAAAATAGTGCTCATAATCTTAATTTCAATTATATGTTTTTGGATGATATTAAAAGAGATTGTTGAACGAGAACCTCCAAAAGAAAGAATTCTTGACAAGAGTCAGATGTTATTTAAGTTTAATGAATCAAGGGAGAGAAATGTAAATATATCTAAAAGAAGTGCAAAAATATCCGAAAGAAGTGCAAAAATACCCGAAAGAAGTACAAAAATATCTGAAACAAATGCAAAAATATCTAAAACAAAAGCAAAAATACATAAAACTAATGAAAAAATATCTGTCAAGGATATGAACAAAGTTATCGACAGTGCAGTTTTGAACAGTGTCCTTAAAAACCAGTCTTTCAGCCGTAGCCAGCTCTGTAATCATCCATACTTAGATCCTTATGATCCCGCCGTTATGAAGTTCTTTCGTGATGTCGGTACTTTGAAGTGTGACGAAACCAAGAACTGGATAAAAGTTGACAATGGAACATTCTGGATAACCAAAAAGGCCAAAGCTAGGCATGGTAAAATTTCTTGTCAATACTTTCCTATCTACCGCAAGGACGAGAATAATTTTATGGTGGGTAGCAGACAAACTTTTAGTGAAGGTATTGTAAATGCACCTGCTGATATTGTCAAAATAACTTGTCAGTCGGAGGTCTCTGGATACAATTACTCCAATATACATATAACAGTTTCTTATAACAAAACAGTTCACGCCAGAGTTAACAAAGCCTCGTACGACAAACTTTATATGCCTCTTAATGTGTTAATGTATGGATTTGATTCCGTGTCTAGAAATACATGGTTAAGAGTATTGCCAAAAACTCACAAGTATTTCACGGAAGAGTTGGGAGGTATTGTTCTCAAGGGATACAATATCGTGGGTGACGGAACACCTCAGGCTCTGCTGCCGATTTTGACGGGGCAAACAGAAGTCGAACTTCCGGAAGCCCGCCGTGGAAAACCCGGAGCAAAAGTAGTCGATGACCATCCTTGGATTTGGAAGGAGTTTAAAAAGGCTGGTTATATGACACAATACGGAGAAGATATGCACTGGATTGGCACATTTCACTACAGAATGCTTGGGTTTGAGAAACAGCCTGTGGATCATTACTGGCGACCCTATTCTCAGTCAACAAAACCAATAGAAAAGTACAGTAAACCTTATTGTCTGGGATCTGAGGCAAGGCACAAAGTTATGATGGACTGGGTCAAACATGGATTTCAAATGTATCGAAATCGATTGAAGTTTATTTTTGCTTTTCATAGCGAGTACAGTCATGAAGATACAAGCAGACTAAAGTGGGCTGACGATGATTTTTTGGAAATGCTTAAATATTTGAAGAACAACTTTCTTAACAACACAGTTTTAATTCTGATGAGTGATCATGGTGCTCGATTTCACAAAATCAGGGAGAGTATTCAAGGAAAATATGAGGAGAGAATGCCATATTTTTCCTTCCGGTTTCCAAAATGGTTTCCAGAGAAGTACCCTTTAGAGTTTAAAGCTTTTAAGGAAAATTCAGGTAGATTAACTACGCCATTTGATATACATGAAACATTCCTTGATATGATGAAATTTGAGAAGAAAGAAACTAAAACAGAGAAATTACCAAGAGGAATGAGTCTTTTCAGACCAATACCAAAACATCGTACTTGTAGCGATGCTGATATATCCCCTCATTGGTGCGCATGCTTAGGATGGAACGTCACTTCCTCAGATGATCTCATTACACAGAAAGCAGCTAATTCAATAGTCAAATTTATGAACAACTTGACTGCAACTGTTAGAGCCAAATGCCAAGAATTGTCATTGAAATCTATCAAAAATTCTTTGGTTTTACAATCAAACCCATACATAGCACGTTATTTGGGTAGTGCTGACACAGATGGGAGAGTACCAAAGGAGTCGAATGATGCTATAGATGGAAGTGCTTTGTATCAAATTACTTTACAAACAACACCCGGTGATGGCATTTTTGAAACTACCGTGAAGTACAATGCAAAAGGTGACAAATTCATTGTAAGTGGTCAAGAAATTAGTCGAATTAACAAATATGGGAATACTTCAAATTGTATACATAAGGACATGCCTCACTTAGATCGTTACTGTTCTTGTAAAATAGTGTGACAAAATGGCGTAAATCATGTGTACGTATAGCGTTTATTGTTCTGCCACATCTTCATCCATCTTTGCATCAATCTTTCGTTTGCTGTAAATCTCGATATACATCTACATGAATTTGGTCACAAATTCCGAAGGAAACATTGATGCTCCTCAGCTAGTATATCGATCATTAATGCTTCTCATATATTTCAAAACTTAAAACTGAGAGTGAGACCAGGCGAAGATTGACTATTTTGCCCAAGTCAAACGTGGATCGATCCCCCATGTAAAAAAAAAAAAATCATTGACAAGTAGATCCTCAATTGCCAAAAATAAAAGTTGTACAAGAAAGATTTGAACTTGTTTATATAGCGTACTGACGGGAGTACTCGCTTCCTTATCCTTACAGCAAGAGCTGAAGAACAGGAATAACAGCAGAGAAGCAGTGCGACAAAGCATTGGAGTGACCATGCAAGAACAACATTGCATGGAAGAAAGGATGAAAATTTATAAGTGGAGTGATGTAGGAGAACATAATCGCGGAATACTAGAGGTGATAACACGAGGGTCGGAACACAAGGGAGTCAAAACGCAGGAAAATTGCTGAAGCCTGCATTGTATCTCATTGATCGCAAATTGTCAGCTTTGCCTTTTACCTCAGTTGCATTGTCATCAAGCTTATTAGTGCTGTTTTCCTCAAATTAGAAATGCGCGATCCCTGCTTGAAAAATGTAACGCGTTACACCCTTAAAATACCTTTTATTTGCGCTGTAAAATTTTATATTTTGCATAAAATTCATTTAAATGTTATTTTCTGACTGGAGTCGGGTAGTTCAATTCAAACCCTATCCATTCATACCAAAATCACCCATATTGCGAATAATTTTTTTAAAATCACCGATGAGTTTAATAGGTCAGGTATTAGAATTATAAAATGGCATCAACATCGCGCGTAACGTCAGAAGACTTTCATATTTAATCTATTTTCTATTTTTCTATAGATTTCATGGTAATACAATAAATTGTTTTTAACATATATTTTAACCTCTGTATATGTTTCTAAATTATCATCAAACCATAATTTCATTTTAACTTTATCTATACTTATAAATTAATAAATTTTGCAAATAAACTCCGAAACGGGTGCACCAGAGTTCTAACTTACTCCTCTAAGAATACACATGATACAAGATGATGTCCGTAAACTATATTTAGATTTCACTTGCATTGTAAGTATCGTACATTAAATTAAAAGTCTACTTTTATTTTCTATAAACAGCCATGAAATAGCAAAAACATGAGTACGGTGGCGTTTCCGGTTGGCGGATCTAAGTTACTGGCAATTTTTAATGAGACTGACAACAAGCAATCGTTTATTTATTTCATTAAACGTCATTACAGAATTATTCAATCAAAACTTGATTTAAATGATATAAAAGAAATAAGTTGTGATAACCGATTAAAAAGGAAAATGTGCAAATTATTTTCGTCATTCACCGATCGTAATATTGACGGAAGCTTCTAGAACATCATATAGCATCGAGCCCGATGTTAAAAAGAAAATAGCTGCTTTAACATTAAAAAAGCTTTTGTGTGAATGGTCATTGAAATAATGGTAAATCATTGACAACACTGTAAGTTGTGAATATATTTATATATCGAAAGACTATTACATATATTTAGTAGGTTTTCCTGATAAATTTATCGGTAAAATTTGTATATATATTCCTCACTGAGAGCATCATGGCAACGAACCCGAAGTACAATATGTACTTCGTAATAAAAAAATTAATGAATAAAGCATTGTTCAAATACAATTATGCTGTAAAATTCTGTGCTTTAATCAATACATTTAAGTTTTTTTCTGAATATAGTCTTTTGTATCAAATACTCGGCCTATTCCAGTGGCGGATCCAGGAATCTTGATAGGGGGAGGGGGAGGGGGAGGGAGTTGGGGTAGGGGCCCATGCACAACCCCCTAAAATTGATTTATTAAATTTTATGTATAATTGATAAGTATAGATTTTAGACACAAAACGAGAGGGGGACTGCCCCCTCTAAATCCGCCTGTGTACTCATAGGGCGTTATGTAAAAGCTAATTTTTACACAGGTACTTGGGTCTTGGATTATAAATATGTATGTACCTTATTGATATGTAAAAAAAAAGAGAGGTAAGGTACAGTTTTTACATTTCAATAAGGTACATACATATTTATAAACCAAGACCCAAGTACCTGTGAATTTTTACCCCCCCCCCCCCCCCAAAAAAAAAAAAATGAATCAATTTCTCAGTAAAATGTGCATTTCTTGACGGAAATGAAATAAGAGCATCTGAAGTACAATATCCATAACACAGTATATACAATATCCATAACATAGTACATGTATATAACAGGTTTCACAATAAACGTCAATTAATGAAATTTTTATTTAAGTTTTACAAAGGTGGGAGTGGAGACGTACTTCTACTTCATGCGGGATTTTGAACAAGTATTTCTTCCTGCTATAAGCCTGTAGGCTGTCAGTAAAAACTATGTATATTATGTTTATGTTTACATAATATATATATTATTGGATTTTTTCTGTCGGTAGTGGTATAAATTCAATTCCCCGCGCTTGCGCGGGATTTCATCTAGTATATATAAAAAAGCCCCATATGATATCAAAAGGTTAAGAATTTGTGTATTTTGATTTTCAACCAAACAATAACCAATTACATGTTTCCACTGAATATTTGTATTACTAATAATTCGCGCAGCATTCCATATTTGTTTTACATTTTCACAGTCAAAGATTAAATTTTTAATATCTTCTAGTACATTACAGTTTTTGCATAATTTTGACAAGTTGTATAATTTTCTATGCATAGATTTGCGCTCTGTGTTCTTCAAAGTTAACATTCAAAAGTTTAGTCCATATATTTTCAGAGTATGGTTTAATAAATTTTTGAGCAATGAAAGCGATATAGAACATTTTACAACTTAGCTTATCTATAAAGATGTTTTCTCCTTGTTTCGCAAAAAGTAGACATTTATATTTGTTATGTTGATATATTTGCTTTTACTGGTATCCACAATCTTTTGTAAAGGTTTAAAAATTCTTTTCAGCAATTAGTATTCACATAAATAATTAGACTTATTTTTTAGTACATTAAGGAAATGTTCAATATCATGGAATTTCCCTTCGCGGTCGAAAAGATCTTTTACGTATAAAATTCCTGCTGTTGTCCAATTTGAATAAAATAAGGACCGTTTTATAAGTTGAAAGTTGCCATTAAACCAAATAGGCTGTGACCACACTTTATCCGCTGATGTATAAATATTTTCTTTCTGTTTACATTCATTAAAAGCACATAAAACTTCACAGTAGAAAGAAGATGGGTGAACAAGGCGAGCGAAGTGCCTATAGTGCGACAAACATGAAGGTGAAAAATTAAATCTCAATTATAACTAAATTTTCTTTGACATTTCGTCTAACATTTAAGTATACTTTATGTAAAATCTTCTCAATTTGCAAAAATCTCACAAAGATAGAAATTATTTGTCTATTAAATAGCATGCACACATTAAAGAGGGCTAAAAGGATCATTTTCTCATACTATAACACAATTTTTCGATATGAGTTGGTCTTTACTCCATTTTTTTTTAAGTTTATCCTCAAAGTTTGCGGAAAAATATACATTTATTGGGTAACAAACACATGGAGCAAAGACCCACTATACCTTAAAAATATACTTTTATGATACAACATTCGCATATTTCCGAGAAATACTTGAAGTCCATTAAGTCAGGGGTCATATCACAAACATGATTTAAATGTCACTGTTCATCAGGTGCTGTGTAGCGTAGTGGTTAGCGCGTTAGTCTCAAAGGAAAATGATACTCAGGAATTTTATTGCTAGGGTTCGATCCCCACGAATACCACATAATTTTTTTAATAACAGAATAATTTTTGCCGAAAAAATTTTCCTCAAAAACGTTTTCTTTATCATAATTCCATAAATTTCAATAATGAAAACTTTGCTCTAAATACTAAATTCACGAATTGAATAAGATTTTTACAGATCTAAAGCTATAGGCATTCTGCACGCCTTCTTCACCCATCTCCGTTGGTAGTTTTTTAAAGGCATTTTGCAGATCTTGAATTTTGTGCTGCTAGTCTTTAGTAGATGTTTAAGGTCTAGTGATTGAAAAAATTAAAGTTTTAATCGTAGAATCATTGCTTATTAACCGCTTTATCCACGTATAGCTTTAAATGCTTTTTTTACTTTCCACATCGACAATTCCAATTCCGCCCTCGTTGATGTTACCAATTAAAGTATTTCTTTTAATTCTATCCCGTTTTCCCCAAAGAAAATTACAAATTAATTTTTTGAATGGTCTTCAAAGTTTCATCATTAGGATAATTCAGTATTGTGGCACTATAATACAGCTGTGTAAGAGCAAGGGTATTTATAATAGTACATTTGCCAAAGAGAGTAAGTTTTCTATTTTTCCACATTGTAAGTTTTTTTCCCTAATTTGTTAACATTTGTTAACCTTATCTTTCCAATTTTTTCGTAGCACTTTTCACGGTCGTGGCCTATAAAAATTTCTAAACACCTAACTGGCTCATTTGTAATTTTGACCTCAAACAAGGTTTTATCTCTGTTTTTAAAAGGTCCAAGTAAGATCGCCTCTGTTTTTTTTTAATGTTCAATTGCATGCCTGATGCTTGACTGAAATATTTTATTAAACTTATAGTGTTTTCAATCGATGTTTCATTTAGTAATGGCAAGGATGCATCGTCTGCATGTTGTAAAAGTTTTATCTCTGTGTCCATAAATTCATTCGTGAAACCTTTTATATTTTTAGATGACTTAATCTTTAATGACATAATTTCTACAATGAAAAGAAAAATAATTGCTGAAATCGGGCATCCTTGTATGATTCCCTTTTTTCATTGAGCATGGTTTAGAGATCCAACCATTATTTTTAATGCGAAAGACTGGATTTTCATAGAATTTTTATCCATTTAAGGAACTGTTGTCCAAAATTAAATTTTTCTAAAGTTTTAAATAGAAAGTCCTAGTTTTTGAAAGTCTAAAAATAACAGAATACCATCTTTATTAGTGGATTCACAGTATTCAAATATATCGAACAGAAGTCGTGCATTCGTGCCAATAAATCAATGCTGTTTGATCTTTACTGATGAGCTTATCTATAACCTTTTGTAATCTTTTTGCAAAAACAAAAGCGAGTATTTTATAATCACAATTTGTTAGGCTGATGGGTCTATATTTACGTAGGTCAGTTTTTCGCCTTTTTGTAAATCAAAAGAAATTATTGATAATCTTTGTGTAAAGGGCATTTTATTTTTTTCGGAAGTCTGTTTTAGTGAATTATATCAAGCATTCTGAGAGTATTGCATTAGCAATACTAGTCCCCTACCGGCAAGTGTAATATGGTTCCCGTTAAAAATTGAAAAAAATGAAAATGCCATAATTCCGTCAAAAATCAATGAAGTGGAACGAAATGCAAACTTGATCTAAAACTCATCAAGGTAAAGTCACATACCAAAAATCAGCTCAAAATCTGCAAGCGTTCAGAAAAAAATTGCGGAAAACCCTGAAAAATTGAAAAGGTCGTAATTCCGTCAAGAATCATTGAAGCGGAACGAAATGCAAACTTGATCTAAAACTCATCAAGATACACTCACATACCAAAAGTCAGCTCAATATCTGCAAGCGTTAGAAAAAAAAGTGCGGAAAACCAAGTGGGACAGACTGACAGACAGAGGGACAGCTAGACAGACGGACAGCTAGACAGACGGACGGACTCAGAGGAAACCTATAGTCCCCTCCGGTTTCACCGGTAGGGGACTAATAATAATCTTTTATATCATTCCAAAATATTTGATAAACTTCAACGGGTAATCCATCTGAGTCAGGGGATTTGTGTTATTAGTCCCCTACCGGTGAAACCGGAGGGGACTATAGGTTTCCTCTGAGTCTGTCCGTCCGTCTGTCTGTCTGTCTGTCTGTCAATCTGTCCCACTTGGTTTTCCGCACTTTTTTCCTAAACGCTTGCAGATATTGAGCTGATTTTTGATATGTGACTTTACCTTGATTAGTTATAGATCAAGTTTGCATTTAGTCCCGCTTCATTGATTTTTGACGGAATTATGGCATTTCAATTCTAAACGGGAACCAGATTACACTTGCCGGTAGGGGACTAGTATTGCTAATGCAATACTCTCAGAATGCTTGTTTTTCATTTGTTTTATAGCCTGTTCACATTCTGTGAGGGTAGGAAATTCGTCGCAAAGTTGTCTTTTTTGATTTGATATAATGAAGTACTCTTAATATCATTTAAATATTCATTTATAACATTTTCAGAAATATTTTTACTTGCATACAGATTTTCATAGAATTCACATAATTTATTCATTATATCGCCGGTTTGATTAAATATTTATTTTCAGTTTTTATTTCATGTATCACGTTTGTTGCTTGTGTTTGTCATTCTAATCTTAGAAAACAAGGCGTGTTCTTTTCGCCTTTTTCAATCCAATTTGATTTTGGTCGTATAAATGCACCTTTTGTAACGTTATTATATATATCAAGTCTCTCTGCCTCCAGTTGTTTTTCTTTTCATATCAGTAGTGCTGGAATTTATTATTTCTAATTTTTTTTTTATTTCTTCCTCTATGGACTTTATACGTTGTTTCGTTTCAAAACTTTATGTTACGAAAAATGTATTGAAAACATTTCAACAATTGTATTTAATTTTTCCCATTTTAATTGATCATCTAAAATATTATTAATTTCCTCCTTTTTTTCTTTTATCAGTTCTCTAAGTTTGGTTATATAGCTTGGATCACAGGGGGCTTGCTCCCGGCGTGTAATAATTATTTATTTTTAATATTACCGTATATGATTTTTTTAAATAAATAATTATTACACGCCGGGAGCAAGCCCCTGTGCCTGGATATATATATATATATATATATATATATATATATATATATATATATATATATATATATATATATATATATATATATATATATATTCTCCCCTCTTTTAGTTATTTATTTTTTCAATCTTCTGTCATGTTTTTTTGTTTTGTTGTACATGTTCCTCTGACCAGTATATAATGTATATATATTATTAATGTACCCCATGCACCAATATTTTGGTTTGGGTGAATAAACTGAACTTGAACTTGGATCTGTTAATAAAGAAGTATATAATTTCCAGTATCCTCGTCCTCTTTTTTCTCCAGCAAGTATAAAATCATATCTTATAGCCAAATGATCCGAAAATTTGTTGTTCTGTATACTTGGTGCCTTTTTAGTAAGAATATCAGCTATTTCCAATTCGAAAAGTTTTGATATAAAAACAAAGTACATGCGACTCTTTGGATTTCCTTATCATTCACACCACGTAAAACCACATTTATTTGGTGTAGTTATTTTCCAGAGATAAGTAAAATTTAAATATTTCAGTAAATCTGCCAAATGTTTGGAGCTTTTATCACTTATAGCTTGTTGTGAACAGTGTCTATCTTCTTTGGTTAAAGTAGTATTAAAATCTCCTGCTAAAATTATATTTTGATCATTAAGAGAGAATTGGCATATCCACTTTCTGTAGTTTTTTTTAAAAGAGTCTGAGCGACAATTTTCGTTTATTTGGCGCATATACATTTACAATAGTATATACTGAATCATTAATTTTAATATTAACCAAAATTTTTCTACCGTCTTCATGGTTCTCATTTCCACTAAACATTGAAACAGAATGAGGGTGTTGTTTATGATATATAGGACAATCTTCATCCTCCGGCCTGTAGGCAAACCTTACATTTGGGCCCCTCTTTGCACTCGTGTGTGAAATGTTGATCACTCCAGCAAATACTTCATTTCTTTTGGCTTACTTAATTAGGTTGCCCAAAATGATAGATGCTACACTGTTGACCACAGCAATAGCTTTTCCGAGGGAGGAATTTTTTGTCAGGTAGGCCTAGTGGTTCTACGTAAACGATCCTTTTCCCATCGAGAACCGACATCAACTGACCGGTAATGGGGTTGCGGATTCTCTCAAACTCAACCGCGCTTTTAACAGGTCCAGTACAATCAGTACATTTAGCTACGTAGCTAGAATTACCTACCGTAGCTTTATTTACCTACTTCAGGTAACTTTATTTAGCTATTTCAAGGCAACTTTTCACAATTTTGCATTTTATTTTAAAAAGACAAAAAGTCGCAAGTAAATGTCTACTAATAATTATACTAGGGATTATTTAATTAAACATTGCTGCGTTTGAACACTTTTAAAGAAAAGATGTATTTCCATTGTTTGAGTAACTGTACACCACCTTGTGTGCGGTGAGGCGTGGATAAGTATGGTTACTTCATCTTGTGCTCATGTTAAACAAAACTGGTCGCTTTTTGTTATTCCATTCTGAATGTAACTGTTTGGCCACAAATTAACTGTTGTATATAGCCCCAAAACTTTTAGAACTTTGATTGCAAATGCGCAGAAAATGAAACACATCTCTAAGAGTGATTTTTTCATGAATTGTTTTCAGATGACTTCAAGTAGGAAATTATCCCTGCGTCAAAGTGCAATTTTCTGCACTTCCTGAGAAAAATGCTAATTTAAGAAATAAGTTTGATTTAGTAGCTAAATAAAGCTACTTCAGGTAGGTAAATAAAGCTATGTAAGTAATTCAAGCTAGTACGTAGCTAAATCTAGTGATTGTACCAGACCTGTTTAAGCTTGGCACCCAGCTTTGTTAACATGTTTTCCACATCACTATTTAACATAGATCTGTTACCTTGAGGAGATTATCTGGTCTCTTTGGGGTGCAAGCAGAAAGGGGTTTTTGTCATAGACGTTGAAATTCTGATTGTTAGATCAATGCCTTGTAATACTAGCTGTTGTCTGCTTGATTTGTCGGATGGGTATACATGCCATAGGCTCCGGTCCAGCTGGACACACACGAGCTTGCATAATAACGTATTCTGTAATTTTTTTGTTTTTAATAAACACCGGACATATTGAAATAGTTCACACGATTATATAAATGTTCAGTAGTCAGGACACAAAACACAATACAGGACAGGTAAACAATACGAATACAGCGTGTCAGTAGTTTACAAACAATAGTGAACACTTACTCGCCGATAGTGAATACACAAAATGCAAAGTCCACATTAATTCAAAGAGTGAAAATGAACATATATACAGCTTAGGTACACAATTTGCACCTATAATCACCGTTTTTGGCGAAAGACAGGCCTTCAAAAAGGCCAAATATTGTCAAAAAGACGGAGCCTAGTCGAAAACGACCTTACCCTAGCTCAGTCACGTGACCTTCCCCTTAGCACCTAAAAACTGCATTCCGTAGAGATAGACAACATTTGGGCTCTCTGTGAGGTATATTTGAGCTGAGTTTATCATTTACTGAAAATGATCATTAAACAGGGTGCCTACATGATGTACAAATATCAACAGTATTTTAATCCATGTAGATGAATTAATACTCATTTGTTTGAAATTTTTAATTTTTTTCTCCCTCTGTCGTAGGTTTTGAAGTTTATAGGTGATGTTAAACGTAGAGTTTATTTCAGCAACCTTAAGAAGTAGATTTTTTTCAGCAAACAGAGCCAAAATTCGATGTTTTGTCAAAATTGTTATGTATTCATTTTTTCGACATTTTCTCGCTTAGACATTCACAACAAATAAAGCACCTTCAAAAATTTACTTTTTCGAGCACATGCCATTTTAAAGGGAAAATACACACCCTGTAATTAGCAAAAGAGAATCAGAATTTCTTAACGAAAAGAAAAATAGAAAGTGAAAGAAGACAAGACAAAAAAAATACTGGTTATTGTTAAAAAAGTCAACACCTGGGTGAGATGAACATTTATTCGAAATACGTTCTACACTCAAGAGATTATTTTCTCATGTTACAAAATCGGCCCCAGTACTGTGGTAAGTTTGGTTGAAATTGATCCATTGGTTTTGAAGAAGGTCCGAGAATTTCATATCTTTTTCTGGAGTCTCCGTGTTTGATGATTGATGGTTACTGCGTAATAGACAGTCAGTTGATACCAGTGATTTTATTTTTTTTTAATTGTAAATCTGACTGAGGTATTTTAAAACTTTATTGATACAGTTACACAGTATTGAATCTCTCAAGGCGGTTTGTTTAATAATTCACTAAAATATCAAGATATGATAATAATTTGATGAAAATATATCCATAATTAAAAATACTTTGAAGGGATATTAAGCAGTATAAATATTTAATTGATATGATTATGAAGTGAAATGATAAGCATGATTGCTTTTAAATAAAATACATATTTAATGCTCCTAATTTGTTCAGTGAAAGACTTGGGTATACTTCTTCTATACATTATCAAGCAGCCTCTTTTTTCTTCTTTGACTTTTCTGTTGTTTTTGCTTCTTGTAGAGATAAATCTGGAATAAATATATCTTCATGTGCTGGTAGTTCCTTTCTCCCATAATCCTTTTCTCTTCCTGGAGGAGACTCTGGCACCTCAGGCAATTTCAGATCTAAAAATAGAACAATTGGTTTTTTGGGATTCTAAATATAGCAGTTTTAATTTTATACACACATGAGGATTTAATTACCTTTTTTGGAGGGGGGGGGGGTACAAATTTATGTGTGTACTCACCAGACAGTAGATCTGCTAGTTCATCTGCACTTGACAACTGATCACCTTTTCCATCCATTACATCAGAGAGTGTTGTGGGAACATCCACTAGAGGTGAATTATCTCCCTTGAGCAGATTCTCTAGACTAGCCTCCAAGGACTCTTCATCATCCTTACTTAATCTTCCTAATTCATTCTGAATGTCCTCCTGATCCTCTATTGTCTGTAATGGTAAACATTGAAATCAGAAATATTAAAAAAATAAATAAATTAAAAGCTGATATGACTTCCATTGATCACAGTAGGACAATTATAAAAAATCACCTATGTATCATTAATCAAATAGGATATCTCATGCAATGTTAGACTAACAGTTACTGCTAGAAACCAGAAGCTTGGCTGTCATGTTATAATTCCTCCATTCAAGCAATTCAAATAATGGTTAGATACATGATTCAAATATGTTAAAATTCCCCATTTAAGCAATTTAAATACTAGTAAAATACCTGACTCAAGTCATCCATGATGTCAGTAACTTTATCTAGGTCATTTCTTTCATTGATGCTTTTTAAAGCTTGAGTTCCACTTTCAATGGCCTTTACAATCTACAAACAAAATGAATCCTCGATAAAAATATTAATATTCTTTTTGATTATCTCAATTTTAATGACAATTCACATCACTAGAAAAACATTCAAATACAGTCATAACTGTATACTTAAAACATTTACTCTGAAAATAAAATGATAACGTATTTAAACTGAGTAAAGTCACAACAAATGTACAGTGTACTTGTATATATAGATACATTTGTTTGAGTTACGTTAATGAATTACCATTTCTTCTGATGCAGCATGGCTTATCCTGTGTAAAATATCATCTAAAAAGTCAATAGAGTTTGATAATTTGGAAATTCTGTCCTGAATTCTCTTATACTGTCTGAATGCTCTCAAAGCCTGAAAAAAATTAGTTAAATGGCATTAGTAATAAAGAATATTCATGGTATTTTATAGATATAAATTACTTCAGTGCTATGTGTATACATGCATTTACTAAATTCATGTCTAACTAAGAGTGCAACGATAAACCGTTTGACGGTATATCGCAGTATATTTTTCCACGGTTCAATTCACGATACGCTAGACTGATATCGCGGTTCGATTCAATCAGTCCAGAATTATCTGAATCGTCCGTTTTGTTTCCATGTTTACAATTTCAAAATGGCTTCCGCGCAAAACGTGAGGTCGACGATTACGCATTAATGGCAGTTAAACTCATCTCCAGCATCTTACAGACCTCAGATTTAACACGGAGGAGGACTTTATCTCATTTTTAATGTGATTAAAATTACTAGTATTATAGATATTAAGACAAGTGATAAACCCTTTGAATCTAAACGTATTTTATGGTAATACACGATATCTCATCACGCGTGTTTTTCGATGAAAATTCGCTGTCTTATTGATTGAAACGTGTTAACACGAGAAATATGACAACTGGTTTTCTATGAAAATAAAAGGAATAAAAGAATGAATGTCTTCCCTTTTTCATTCCAATTTAAAAGAAAGATTATTGGGAAAGGTCCCCATGGTTCCCTGTAAATGTTCGTCATTGGTTTAGAATATTGTCACAACTCAAAAGATTTTCCAATCAATCCAATTCAAGTTAACAAAATTATATTTTCATTATTATCAAAAATTATTAACATTTAATATAACCCTGTCAAGTTTTGAAAAAAATATGTTGACAAACTTGAAAGACTTAACCTTCTCATGTATCGTTATACGTATCGTATCGTGAACTGAATACCGTGATACGTATCGTATCGTGAGGTTGGTGTATCGTTGCACCCCTATGTCTAACAAAAACTATTGTTATGATGCCTGTATGTTGTCCCTCCACAAAGTTGATAACTTATAGTAGTATGTGCTATTATATTTATACAGACTGAATGGCCTGCATAAAAAAATATAATAAAAAATATAGATTCAACTTACATGTTGCCTCTTGCTTTGATTTTTATGTTGAATAGCTTCCATTTTTAATCTATAATAAGCAAGACACATTTAATATTTTACATGTGTACACAAGTACAAGTCTACAAGATGGTAAAAAGTATTTGGCTTTAAGTTGCATATGAGTAAGATTTTACCAAAAATACAAGGTACTAATTTAGACTTAAGTACATTGAAATGCTAGACTGTATGAACCACAGGGGCATCTTATCTGCTCTGTCCTCTATTTCACACATAATTAGCACATGTGAAATAGAGAACAGAGTGGATAAGATGCCCCCGTGTATGTAGAGAACAGAGTGGATAAGATGCCCCTGTGTTTGAACTTTTCAATCTTACCTCTCACTTACAGCTGACAGTTTTTCAACATCGTTCAAAAGTTTACCAGATGTTTTCTTAATTCTAAAAATAAAACCCTTAAAATGAAAATAAAACTTCAGAAAACCAGAATGATGTCTTAAAAAAAATAATTGTGAAGAAAATCTTTCAATTTTTGAAAAGTTTGAAGCTTCTTGATAATGTTTGCAATGACCTCTTCATACCTCAAAATCTTTAAATCTTCCTCTGTAATTTTCTTCACTTGGTCATCATCCCGTGAACAAAATTTAACAATCTTGTAAAATGTAGGGGGAAAAAATGTTAAACAGATGTAAAGATAATAAACATTCTTATAATCAATTTCTACTGTATTTTCTTTAATAGAAAAAAACGCTTGCAAAAAAAATTTGATGTAGTTTAAGCTTTCCTGACCCAGTCATTCTGAAGAAGATTCATTAAAGGGGGGGGGGGATTTGCTGGCATTATGAACATTTACAGTTTAAATATAAGCAAGATTGAAGAAACAGTGATATTTCATAAGTGCAATAATTATGTGCATCAATGAGGACATTTTTAGTGACTAGCTTTAACAAAAATCCAAAGGATGCATAAATTTAAACACCAGTGAAATTAAACACCTACAAATTGCTGACATTTTGGCACAATTACAATCATATATCTATGGATATATGAATATATATGTATCATGAAGAAAATATCTGATAAAATGAAAACATTTCTTCAGCTGAACTTACAACAGTGTCTTGATCTGAACTGATCACTGCTTTGTTTTCTTTTACGAGCTGTTGTAACACGACCTTAAATTCCAGTTCTGAGGAACACAGATCACCACACTGAACGTAGAGCACAGAGTATTCCATAATGTTGCTGACAATGTCACAATACACCTGACACTGATGCCTCTGTAGAACTTTGGTGCACTGATCCTGAAATTAAAAGTATAATCTAATCAAGAGTATTCATGGTAATTGCTCTTGGTCTTGTAAGATTAATACTTACAATATTTTCATTTTTACAGAATATTATGTATCTTATTTTTATTATTAAATTTTCTTGAAAATTTAGAGAGGTAAGCATTTAAAAAAAAAATACAGACAAACATAAAACACCTTATTATACCAGCTGCACATTGAAAGACTTGCAAATAAAACCATTAGTACAATTAAATTGTCCACAGATGGTTGGAAAGACATTGAAAACATTAAAAATAGGGAATATCAAAACATTAGTCACTGACAGTGAAACATTTAATGCATACTTTTAAACACTCCTCCAATATGTATTGTGTATTATCCTCATTTTTCTCGTCTTTAGTCAATGCTTTCCAGCTCCAAGTGATGGGTGACTTAAGTAGGGTGTCATATCCCCACGTCAGCCAGCCCTTACCACTGGCTTCTGAAGGTGGCTGGAGAATGTCACTGTTCTGAAGTTTTCGAATCTTTCCAAGGCTGCACAAAAGAAGAGAAAAAGGAAGTTTCAGCCATCAAACTTGCTTACATAACTTTTTATAGTCATATAATATACCCTGACAGACTTTTAGAACTTTCATTGCAAATGCTCTGAAGGAAACACTTTTTGAAAAGTTATTTGTTCATGCATTGTTTCAAGAATAACATACAAGTAAACATCAAACTGTGACTTTTCTTATAAGCTGAAATATTGCACACTTAAAGCTTTATAGGGTGTATATTTGATAAGTTTAGAAAACCAAAATTAAACAGATCTATTTGTTTCAATACTTTATATAAAGAATGGACTTTTCTGTAAATTACATAATTTAAATCTATCACGTTTCAAAGATATCAAAAATTTAAAACAAGAACCGATTTATTTACCGACTCCACAAAAATAATGGAGATGTGCATATTAACACCACCTTAATTTGACAGTGATGAGAATGAGGGGTAGACCAGCAAACACAAGCAGTTTAACAGATTCAGAGAGAAATGCGAGAAAGAGATATCATAGGCAGACATGGGGAGTCATAAAGAGAAAATTATGTTATATTAACAATATCAAGTACATTATACCTCTTCTCCATCATGGCTTTAATGCTGTATTTTCCTGAAGTCATGTGCTTGGCAGATCTTATTAATATTCAACACAATTACAGCAAAATTTAAAGTCAATTTAACTACAGAAAGTGAGGTTATCTGAGTTCAGAATCGGTGAAAATTGTAATTTTAATGTACATAACATATATCATGCATATCTATACACTCAATTTCCTTTTTTTTTTTAAGCTCAGATACACCATATATAGCTTTCAAAATAAATGAAATATATGGAGATAACGAACAGTATTCAAGCTCAAAAGTCCATTATACAATACAAAATAGGAACAGAGCAAACACGGACCTCGCTTTCAAAATAAAACATTTATTTAATTAAATGTATCAAAACAGCTAAATCAAGCCTTTCTATATTATATAACTAAATACATTGGTGGATTTAAGGGGGGTGGGGGGAGTGTGGGGGGCGCACGCCCCCCCTTAAATGCGAATACTATTAATAATGCCCTACTTTGGTTTTACAATCAATGGTCAATTAAACAAGAGGCCCATGGGCCACATCGCTCACCTGAGTAACTTTGGCCATGCTGTTCATTACCAGACTTCCCCCCTTGTAATACCTATTGTTGCCCCGCCCTACCCCCAGGGGCCATGATTTGAACAATTTAGAATCTACAATACCCCAGGATGCTTCCACTTAAGTCTCAGTTTTCTGAACCAGTGGTTCTTGAGAAGAATTTTAAAGATTTTTCCTATATATTTCAACGTAAAACTTGGATTCCCTATTGTGCCCCCCCCCCCATCCCCGGGGTCATGATTTGAACAATTTAGAGTGTACACTACTTGACGATGCTTCCACATAAGTTTCAGGTTTTCTGGCTCAGTGGTTCTTGAAAAGAAGATTTTTAAAGATTTTTCCTATATATTTCAATGTAAAACTTGGATTCCCTATTGTGGCCCCGCCCTACCCCCAGGGGTCATGATTTGAACAATTTAGAACCTACATTACCCCAGGATGCTTCCACATAAGTTTCAGCTTTTCTGGCTCAGTGGTTCTTGAGAAGAAGATTTTTAAAGATTTTTCCTATATATTTCAATGTAAAACTTGGATTCCCTATTGTGGCCCCGCCCTACCCCCGGGGGTCATGATTTTAACAACTTAGAATCTACACTATCCCAGGATGCTTCCACATAAGTTTCAGCTTTTCTGGCTCAGTGGTTCTTGAGAAGATTTTTTTATGACCCCACCCTATTTTTGTCTTTTCTTGATTATCTCCCCTTGAAAGGGGACTTGGCCCTTTATTTTAACAATTTAAGCTCCCCTTCCCCCAAGGATACTTTGTACCAAGTTTGGTTAAAATTGGCCCAGTGGTTCTTGAGAAGAAGTTGAAAATGTGAAAAGTTTACAGACGGACGGACGGACGGACGACGGACAACAGGTGATCAGAAAAGCTCACTTGGGCTTTCAGCTCAGGTGAGCTAAAAATGGTAATTTTATTTAATGACCAAGTATCGGTTTTCTAGGTTAGAAAGACACTGGATATTCCTGGCATGAAATTTATCAACTATGTTTAATTTTGCAACTTAAATTGCTAATATGGGCCAGATAAGGAGGGGGGGGGGGGGGCAAAAAATTAACCATCAGATATAACTTAATCTTTTAGATATGATATCTTAAGCTGTCAACTATCATTTGGCGAACAAAAATTTCACACATTTTAGTTTTAAAATTTGATCATTTTTGCATATCTTTATATGGAGTTCTTCTTTTAAAGGAGATCAATATAGTCTGAAAATGGCCACAACCACCCAGCCCTCTTAAGTGACAGTGTACTTTGAAACACATTCTGATTTTTGTGACTTCTTGTATACCTAAGTAAAATGCTATTTTTAAAATCTGATCTTGTTTGTTCGTTGTTTTTTGGTTTGTTTGTGTGTGTGTGTGTGTGTATGTGTTTTTCTTTTAAAAAGTGAAATATCATAGTGTACATAACTAATCAATACCACTATTTTTGTACCTGGTTTTACTCTTAAAATCACAAAAATCCAGGAGCTGTCTGAACGAATTTATCCACGCCCCCCCCCCCCCCCCCAATCAAAAATCCTGTATCTGCCCATGAAATACACAGCTATAAAGCTAATTCATGATCAAGCTAAATGAAGAGACAGTGCCGGGCCTGTTGACTAAGAAATCAGGCCTGCGTTCAAGATTGTTGCAGTTACTTAGCTAAATGTAGCCACTACCACAGGGGTTGAAATTTTTCCGGAAAACCCACTAGCCCAGGGGCTACTGATCAGTAAAAATTTACTAGCCCAAATATCAGGGTTCGACATTCACGCTCGTCACCTCGTCATTTCCACCCCTGATTGATTTTGGACGACCTGATTTTCAGTCTGGCTCGCCCAAATGACGACCTGGGACGAGTTGGGAATTTTCAATAATGATGTTTAATATTTTAAAATACACTTTATAAGGCCTTGAAAACATTGTTTCCTGTAACCCGACCGACCCATTCAACTAGCAGCCGCGTGGATTTTTCTTTCTGTCAAATCTGTGTTTGATCAATCAGCTGATGTAATTTTTACCAAAAGTGTTAAATTAAGTTTTATTTGAGATATAAAATATGTAAACCTAGTCAACAATCACCATAAATATAAAGAGTAATGATCATTATTGTAACATCCAGTATTTCCCCCACAACTTTCTGATGTTCGTTTTCTGCTGCTAGACAGCCATGTAGGGTGTCCACTGTAAACATCACACCTGGTTAATTCAGTCCAGGGATGTTTGACCCCATTTATTAAGGCCTTTTTGTTAAGTGAAAATGAATGTTTTAAACTAGAAACTTTATTTTGTGTCAATAATGAATATGTGAGGTGAGATTGTATATTAGCAAAAAATAAATAAATAAATAAAATCCCATCCTACTAACCCTTGATTAATTGGGAATATTATACATGAAACAAACATAATTTTTTTAAAGTCTAATTAGCATTCTGATTCTGCTTATTAATATTTGTTGCTTGTTTTCTTTGTTTGATAATATACTGGAAGACAGCTTTTGATATTCCAAAAATATTTGGTTCACATTTTATAATAGCATAACCTCTGTTATTTTAACAAATTTTAAACTATTGTACATTTTTGTTTCTTTTGATATTTTGTTCGGGCGACCTGAAATTCAATTGGGCAACCTGAAATCAGTACCAAGGTTGCCCAAATGGCGAGACCAAATTTTAACGAGTGTCAAACCCTGAAATATTAAACTAACTAGCCCAACAATTTTCATGCAAAATGAAAATGTAACAAATTAAAGTGTCACACACGTTTGACTTTGGTGACAGGAACAAATTAACTTAGTTCTCTGTCAAAAGAAACCAGTCTACATAGAAAAGCTATGGTAAACTGATGATCTAGAATTTTTTTCTGTTCTGCTAGTCCGATGGACTATCGTTACATTTAAATTACCTAGCCCGAGTCTTAAAATGACTAGCCCCGGGGTCGGGCTACCATATATTTCAACCCCTGTACCATCTTGAACAATATGCTATTCTAGTCATAACAAGTGTTAATTCATACAGTGCATTCAATATGACTTAGATATCTAAAATAGCATCAAGACTAGCTGCTACGATCTTGAATGCAGCCCCAATATAATTTTCACATCAAATATGAATATGTGCAAATTTTACCTTAGCATTTCTGTAATCACAGTATCTAAACAGCTTGGCATTTTTCCTTTTCTCTTGAAAACGAATGGTATGGATTTTCTTTCTAGAATACACTTGTTTGAATGTTTAAACTCGTCTTCTATGACTTGAATCCAAAATTTCATTTTCTGATTCCACGATGAAGGGTTTAAATTCTTTTCTCGAAAAGGCGAAAACAAGACATTCATTCTTGTATCGTCTAGCCATACTGCTGGCCTATGAGGTTCCATACTTCAAATGTCTTAGTTTTAATTATTTATCAATATCCTTTAATGGTTTCAACGGGTTTGTCCCATGAAAACCGAAAGCAGAACAATATTCAATGTTACTTAGTTGTTTCAGAGGGACTTACTAAATCTTCGTGACTTCAAACGTGCAGTTGATTAAGACAAAATCCTCAATTAAATATGAAATATATTCGGTAAAATCTGGATATTCCGAAATAAGATGCCAGATTTTTTTCAGTAAGTGGAATGAAATAGGTGAAGATAACGAACAGTGATCGATCTCAAAAAACCTACAAACAATACAAATCTGTAAACAGAGGACTCCTGGGAATATTCCAGAGGTAGGAGTGAAGATCTCCTGTTGACCGTTTAACCCGACCTTGCGTACTATGTCTATAAACATCATGTCCAAACGCAAAAAAAACAAAAAAACAAAACAAAACAAAACAAAACCAAAACAAAAAAAAAAAACAAAAAAAAAAACAAAAAAAAAAAAAACTATTTATCAAGGAGGGGAGAGGGATCTTCTCATGATAATGCACAATTTAAGCCGCCGGCTTTCCTTCATATCCATATATATCCATATCTGCATCTATATGAGTGACTCTTCTTCAAATTTACGAGGAGTTCAGTGTTTCCTGTTGGGAGGGTTTAAAGGTCTTTTATTTCTCCAGAGGGTGCGGTTGTGGTGGTCCCGACCAACTTTTCTATTGAAGGTTGTGGTGGGGGAAGCTACTTTTCTTCTAAGTCTAAAAAACGGTTAGGCTATATATCAAATGTGTTATACAGATACCCTACTGCTATAACAGATTGTTTTGTTTGGTTAATTTTTTTCTAAATATTTTAATGACATTGTCGATTAATTATAAGGTTCTCTATTAAGAAACATAAATTCACAACAGTGGGTGATCCAGGAATCTTGAAAAGGGGTGGGCGACCAGTTTGAGGTCGGGATAGGGGCCTATAGCCACCCCCCCCCCCAAAAAAAATATTTATTAAATCTTATGTATATTTTGGACCCCCCCCCCCTCTAAATCCGCCACACAAGCACTTGCTTCAAATACATGATGTTTCTTGTATATTAATCCTAACATTGACATTTGATTTCAGACCATCTTTTTAAAAATGTTTGCTTGTCCTCTCCCGTCCCAGAATAAAAAAATGGGTGGGTAGGTAGATGGGTTGTTTTTTTTTTATTCCAATACACTTATCAATGTGAAGTTAAAATAGTTATTAGTGAGATGAGAAAATTTTTCATCTCACTAATAACTATTTTAACTTCACCAAAACTTCGAAATGAAAAAAAATGTTTCCCGGAGGTTAAAAAAAGTTTTGAGTGGGGCCGTTTTTAGTCAGTCGGTCGGGAGAGGGTAAACAAACAATTTTTTTAAAGATGACCCCAACGAAAGTAAAATGCTGTTCCAAACTAGAGTTATCTTTCTTGTCATCTGCAAATGGACATGGATTCTTGTTCCAACTTACACTCTCACTCAAAATTTCATTGGAAACCGTTGAAAAATTCGATAATCGAGGCAGGAAAAATGAAAAATTATTCAGCATCCGCATCTTTTTAAAATCCATTTCAAAAACTAAGATTCAGAAAGACTGCTGTGCAAGTGATGAAGGAAATAAAATAAATAAAAAAAATATTTTTTAAACAATCACGCAATTATTTTCAGTATCTAAATTAATTTGTAAAACTATGTGAAACTGCTATATAAAGAAGTTTTTATGATAAAATATATAATTTCAATATTTATTTTCATCTTAATTAATACACAAACCAACTAAGATGATTTCTTATATATGTATTCACAAACTCACAGCTCAGCTCTCCGGGAAAAATATTGTTGACAGACCGGAGAGCTAAGCATGTTTAAAGAAAATGCGTTGGTTTTGAACTTATTTTACTAATTAAATCCGTGGAACAGCCAATCGATGTACATTTTATTTTATACCAAAAAAATCTTAAGGTATTCTTTTAAAGCTCCCTTCGTCAATCTCGAAATGTCAGCGAAATGTATCAAATTTTTGTTCCACGATCGACAATCTCCATCTTTTTTTTTTTTTTTTTTTTTTTTTTTACTTTAAACCATTCACTCTCCGGCGTTAGTGAAGGTGCAATATGTTCAAATGAATTTCTGAGACAAGTAAAGTAAAAACTTCAGGAAGAACCGTTGCTATGGGCATGAATGGGGAAGGATATATTATTTTAAGCTCTAGAATACTTTGTAAAATTTTCAACAATGAAAATCACGAGAGATCCTGAACTTCGCGCTGGATTAGCCAGAATTTTTCGAATCCGGATAATCCTTTTTTACTCATATTGGTTTCTCTATCTATTCCACTTCGAGATGATCGCGAGACTGGGAAGGTAGAAAATCCTGTTAGGAAAGAATGAACAATTTATTATGACTAATGTACCTTCAGGTGACAAATGAATGTGATAATCTCAATCTGATTATGTTATCTAACCAGCCTAGAGATGAATTCTCTTCGAAAATGGTTCAACAGACCGAAGGTAAATATAGAGCCCTAGTGTTTTTATTTTGTCAGGTTTAGAAATCCCTTTGTTACGCATTTATCATAGCATGAATCCGCAATTTGTGTCATCACCAGTCACGATATGTCGTCATTGCAGTGGACTTAGGAATTGTTCTGACTTTTTACGCTGTTGATATGAAATAAAGATTGCGAGAAATTTTATGAAAAGGGAAAGGATACACATTATTCTTGTTGATACCTGACAGGTTCAGTATATTGTAAAGATTGTTTTCACCTGTGTAGCTATTTTTAGATAACTGGGTATTTAAATCTATCGAAAGTAAGATTTTATACATATTTCTAAAAGAGAATTGTTTAGGGTGGAATTTGTATGTTGAGAATGAGGTGCTAAGACCTGTTGTCAGTACAGCCAAAAATTTACAAGTCTAAAACATGTAGACAGACAAGAGTCTCATATATTATTATCATTTTCTACTTTAAAAAATATGATTTCAAATGATACAATTTGACTAGATAGGTAAGAATACTCAGCCTAAGCAGTGTCTGGGAAAGTCAAACAACAGATGGGGCCAATGGCCCCGTTATTCATAAAATGATGGGGTCATTTTGAAATTCGAGGGGCCAAGAGGAAAATATTGGGACCATTCTAAAATATATCATAGTAAGATGCTATGATAATGCATACATCTCTGACAACAAAATTTAGGAAAACAAAGAAAAAATGCAATAGGAATTGACAAATCATGACATTGACTAGTGGAAATGATTTTTCTATTGCTAAGAAATTCTTAATTAAAACATTCGTCATCTAACACAGCAAGTATTAGAAAAATTATACTTAAACCAAATGCACCAATTCTAAATAAAAAATGCTGATTTTATCATTTAGAGATCAAGGGACAGGCCAAGATAAGTAGATTTGGTTGATAAGGTATTTCATTGTAAGGTAATTTTTTTCCATGTGCATGACTTTTGAAAAGCTGTGGTCAGTCGTCCAAAAAGACTTGATGCTTATGAATCACATGGGAGGAAAAGTTTGTTTCTTTGCCAGTGAATGTCAATATGTTGAATGGTGGTTCTGATTTTATTATATGATACATTGCAGATTCCATCTAACTTCGATGAGGAATACCAATAGTGCCAATTGCGATAAACTTACAAAGTAGAAAATCATGCGTGCCTGCATTTTGCAGGGCATGGCACATGGCACAGAGACCATAAGGCATTGCACCATTTTTTGAAAGTATGCGCATATAGCGCACAGTGTTCGAAATTAGCGTCGGCCCGTCGGTCCTGCGCCGACGTACAAACGGAAGGACTCACGAATAGTATGACTAAATGGGTCCTTGAAATAATTTTGGGCCGATGATGATATCTTCTTTTCATGTGCATTTTAAATAAATACTGAAGATTTAATTTTTTTTCCTGCGTGGAATAAATTTACGCTATATGTATGCGGTTACAAACTTTCTACGGAAAATTGTCCAAGTATACTTATAAGTACATTTTAACAACATATTGTGGTAATCTAAGAAACCTGTGTAATTTTCTACCCGCCGATTTTAAAAACAGAAATTGTAATTCCAAGGAAAAATCTAAACACATGTTAAGCTCTTTACATGTTATATATGACCAAGTAAGACTGTTTGACGATTGATGTTTTACCGTTTCATATTGTTAATACTTGCGAGTTGTAGTTACCCTTTATTAAATTGACATATTTCATATGAAGCAATAAACTTACCGAGATCATCAATACGTAAAAGTTTATTTTTCCCAAATATTTTATGGTATTAATAATTTTTGGGCCTACGCTGCCCTGGAAGGACTCATGTGGTCCCTTTCTCTGTGGGTCCTTTGGACCCATAGAAAATAATTCTGAATTTCGAACACTGATAGCGCATGGCGCGGCCCCTTCCCAGGCCCTGCCTAAGTATAGTTTGATATGTATTGTACTTCAGTGTTGTCTTGTTATTGCAAAAGTGAAGCCAGTAACCTTACGCACACATATTTTAGATTAATATATTTACCTTTAGAAAAGAAGATATGTGTCCTAAATTCATGATATTCCATTTTGTTTATATTTTTTACTTGATTTGTAAGATGAATTCAAACATAGTTTTCGTACATTTCACTTCTTCTGCTCATGCCAAGTATTGCCCACAATCAACAAGCTGATTATTATGGCAAATGTGGTGCGCATGATATAACCAAAATTAAAACTTTAAAAGGTTAAAAGATTAAAATAATATTTCTTATTTATGGCTGGAAGGCGATCACCTAAGACCTAAAGGTCTCAGGTGTATTCGCCAAGACTATCTCTGATGGTAGTTTGTTCCACTCTTGGATGGTATGAGGGAAATAGGAATACTTATGATAATCGCTCTTACAGGATGGTATTTGGTGGGCTTTATGATGAGTATGTTGTGATTGACATAATGATGGAATGCATTTGCATTGGATCTGCTAAGTAATTTGTCTATTAGATATTAATATTACAGAACAAAGTAGATTAAAAATTATATGAAACATCATCATTATTTTCATTCAGTGCTTTCCATGGATACATTTTTAGTGTTTATATATTTATTTTTTGGGCCAGAGAGGGGAGGTTTATAACCATTCACAATTGTGAAGATCTGTCCAGGTGTTTATAAAGTCAGCAAATTTCAATAACTTTAAAGCATGCCAAATATGCCAATGAACGAGATCAAATTGGTTTTGACAGTGTGGCACAATTTTAGAAATAATGTCATCTACCATCAGAAATTAGTAATTTAACAAAAGACTACAATCAGACTGAAGGTTTTAATACCATGTAAACTACAGGCAGATGACTAGAAATAGCTTTCTAGGTAAAACTAGTATTTGGTTTAAGTAACCCTGTTAACAAGTTCCATCTGGTTTTATCTCCTGACCATACTGTTTCAGTATAAAGATATAAAAACAGTATCCATCTGCAAGAAAGGTTATCTGTATCAAATTTTGCTCAGTCTTGTTTGGATTATCTGTGGTTTATCATATTAAGGGAATGTATTAGAAGTTCATTTAACTGTACTGTACATTTTAAAAACCCCTTTTGTTTTGGAAAAAAAAATACATGTAACATGTGAGAAATGAACACCCATTAATATAAAGTTAAACATTGACTTAAAAATTCAGTTCCAATTTATCGCATTCTTTGTAAATTAGGGCTGGGATGATCATGATGATAAAGGTATCCTATGATATGATACATTAATGATCTCAAGATACAGTGGTTTGGATATATATGATATATAATTATATTTTCATATTTTTTATAGTACAAATTAAATATACAAAAAGTGTTAAATATGCCAACCCTGGGTGTATACTTGTATAATTTGGGTAATTTGAATTCATTCCTGAAATAAACCTTTCTCAAATAACAAATTAAACTAAGTAGAATCAATCACAGACTGTTTTATATAATTACAAACTAAACAACCTGATAATGACATCATATTTCATTTATCTTCTTCTATGTACCATTACTACCTTATAAATATAAACAATTAATTGCGAGTTTATAAGGAGAGGGATAAATAACCCATGTTCACATATAAATTATTTATAATGTCTCTGGATAAATGATGCTGCAATGAAATTTCCTTTGTGAGATAAGCATTAATATTTTACTGTATTGTGAAGTTTATGTTAAAATACTGACGTGTTGGTTAGACACTGTCATTTTGGATGAATATCTTGTCTTAGGAACACCATGGTAAGGGTCTTTAATGGTTTAGAAAATTTTGTATTAATGGAATGTATTAAAATCAAGCTAACCATTTGTAATACATGTAATAGGTAATTTAATACTCATGGAACCAAAAGAAAGTGCATAGTGCAAAGTATATAGGTTATATAGTATTCCATAATACAGAGTGAAGAGCTCTTTTGTGATACTGTCTAAGAATATCTTATGGAACAGTTTTGTTAGTCTTCTGTTTTGAGAGAATGTATACATCTCTAGAATATGTGGAAAGGCACTATTTTAAAGAAATTTTGCTTCAGCTGTTTATTGTAAGAATTTTTAAATTGAAGGACTCATTGTAAACTACTCCAAGGGCTGCATGTATTTTCCTGTTGAAAAAGGAACTTATTACGTGTATAAATATTATACATTTATTGACTCCAGGGTTCATGGGCAATATGCATTTTGTCAGATCCAAGAACCAAACTGTTTGCCTTAGGCCATTAGGCTAATGGCAAGCAGTTTCGTTTAAGGTTTCAGGAAAAAAAAATTTTGCTCGAGAACCCTGTTAAAAAAAATTTTTTTTTATACCTTTTACTTTTATTTTATTTACTTACCTAGCGCTGACTTCCATGTTTATAATAAATATAACTTAGTCATTTCTGTATCTGTCAAACACCAAAAAATGCAGATAAGATTTAGCTGACACCACCTACATTGAGGAATAAAGTGTGATGTAAAAAATGTCATAGTGGTCCAACATCTCATCAACCAGTCCAACATCTCACAGAACAGTCCAAGATCGATTTTTTTTTTTGGTGAACTTCTTGGTTAAACATTGCAAATGTTAGACTTATTTTAGTATAGATTTATATAGCAATGAATTTTAAAAGGTTTAACAAATCTTATCAAACAACACTTCATTTCTCAGAATCCTCTTTTTCAGAAAAGTGACAGTTCTCTGTTAGCGCAGTTTTTCTTTGCTGACGAGGAACTCAATGAGGTGGCAGCGGAATTGGATAGTTTTGATGGCAGAAAGGACCCAGAGAGATGTACCACTCTGGTTAATAAGTTACGAACATGTCAGGACAAAGTCCTAGTGGTAGTGCAGAAAATTATCGATGAGGCCATAGGAAACCAGAAGGCAAACCGGGATTTCCGGGTGAAGTTCCCAGATGATGTTTTGCAAGAAAACTTGGCTGGACAGCTGTGGTTTGGGGCAGAGGTAAAATTTGACAATCCTTATCTATTTTAAATGTATAACAGATGAGCAATGGGATTGCAGTTGTCAATTATTGTGGTTGAAAGAAGTTTTTTTTTATTTGCTGCATATGCATACTGATCGTGTTATGTTTGCACAAATTATTAATTTTCATTGTTGCAATCAACATTTTTTTTTTATCTTGCTAATCGCAAATTAAATTTTGTTTAATAAAAAAAGTTGAAAGCAAATTTATATATAATTATAAACTAAGAGGTGACATGGTGCAAAGTGCTAACCTATAGATTTTTTGGATGCCAATAGGACATTTATTTTTACTTAAACAATTGTCATGTGTTGATACACTTCATTAGTTTCTGCTTCCAAGTATAGCTACCTGATAGATCTTCTTGTTTCATTTTATTACTCGCTGGCTGATCAGAGGAAGCAAGCATTGATCTTTTTGAAAATGAAAGTTCATTAAGTCATTCAGTTAAATTAAACAAAAGGTTTTAAAAAAAATCTATAAGCACACCTGAATTTTGTAAAATAAATGAGTCCTTTGGGGAGTGTATTTCCCACAAGGTATGTGGGATGAATGGTAGAATGATTCACTAATTAGATGTAAATGTATCTTGATCTTTTGGCACACTTTCTTCTACCAGAGGCCATTCAACCCAAGATAATCAATCTCCAACAAAAAGCATGACAATTACAATTAGGTCATCAGTAATGAATTGAAATAGTTATAGTAGGATTACCCAGTGACACATGAGAGAGGAGGTTGAGAAAAAGTGAGAAAAAAGGACTTCTTGTATATTTCAAGCAGTAAACAGAAAAGTTACAAATATATCATGTACAGTGGACATTCTAAATGCACCTGTATTGTATGTTTATTTTATATACAAGGTAATGAATTTTTTCCATTTACAATCATTTGTCCTTATTGCAGTTGTAATTTTTGTAAGTAACATTCCCTTCTTTTTTTTTTTTGGAGGGGGGGGGGGGGGATGTCTTTTCGTTTTTGAGAACTATCAATAGCATCATATTCAACATCTTCTAATTTGTATAAAACCACAAATTTATCAACTTTGAAATAAGGGGGATATTATTAAGCTTATATTTTAAAGGGGGATGGATATAATTATAGTATAATTACAGCATATATACAATTCTGTTTAATTATATACCTATTTTACATGGGGAGAAATTAAGACCAATTTTGTATTATTTTTCAAGTGTCTGGCTGCTGGGTCCAGCATTATGAACAGGGAGATAGAGAGTGCCTCAATGAGGCCCCTGGCCCGGGCTCTGACAAAGAATCTAGACAGTCTTCGTACCTTACTGAGAGAACAGTGCCTAAGGAACCAGTCCATAGATTCAGATAGGGTAAACAACTTAACATAATTATCATCTTGATTGGAGGAAATTGAAGCTGAGCTAATTTAATAAGCATTTAGCTTTGAAGGAAGCAAAGAAAAAATCACTTGGTAGAAACAGTTTGAAGCAAAAAATTCTCTAGTGCAATAAGTGGATATAGAAATATATACAAATGTTGTTCATGTATATGTGAAAGAATAGTTTTAAGCCCCTCATTATTTTTTTGTCAGTCTTGTGCTGTAAAACTGTGGAGAGGTATATATGTACAGATTTTATTTCAGGTCAGAGAATCATTAACCATTTTTGACAAGTTGTTTGCAGAATTTGAATTAAGGTAAATGACCAAAAAGGTATATAATACTTTTAAAAATATAGTTTATAACAGAAAGAAGTAAGGCAAACCTAGATATCTCAAATATGAAGGAACTTTGTGTTCATGGTAACTGGTAAGGTTGAAAAATATACTCACTTTGACTTATCAAGTGTCGACATATATAGTGAGTAGAAATTTTTCATTGCATTTTGTTATTGGAAGATTAAATGATAACTACTTCACTTTCATAGTATTTTGCTAATGTGATGAATCACAAATGTATTCTTTTTTTTCCAGCTATGTCAGCACAATGGTTCCTGTGAAAACAATGAAGGAGTATGATCTGTCACAGGAAATCACCATTCTCTTCTCAGAAACTGTTCAAAGGTACTATATTGTTTCATATGATGTAAAAATTATCCACACTGGTCATTAAATATAAATAAATATTCTGTATTATGGAATATTTAGTGGATTGATGCCTGTATATTGTTCAAGTCATGTGTTCTTTCATCAGAAAAAAAACCCAGTTATCCCCTTACAACAAAGTTAAGTACTGATTGGTGTTGGAGAGAATTTAAATTACCTTGGTTTTTAAAATAAATCATTCCCAGGCCCTTGACCTAATCATGAATGTCGCTTTTAAGTTTTGATATTACAGACCTATTTACTCTTATGATTTGCTGTATTTTATAGGGATTTTGAGTCCAAAATACGTCTAATGTTTTGCTATTATGAAAATATGGAAATCGGAAATCCGTTCGTTTGGATTTTAGCAGTTAGTTTTTCGTTATGATCTGTCTCAGTTTGATGCTTTTTAATCAAAAAAAAAAGAGAAAGATTTCAACCTCTTAAGTAATGTCGGGTTGCCAAAACGAGGTGGTTTAAAAAATGACAGAAACCCCTTGACAGAAAGCATGGTACATGTATGATGTTTTTCTTTGTTATTAAACCATGTTTTGGTAATCAGAAATGTAGTTGTTCTCTAGTAATATTTGTAAAATCCATGGAAAGTGAATTCTTACTGGCAAATGCCAAATCTCACTGGCATATCTAATAAAAAAAATACTGAGAGACAACAATACGGGTAAACAGGTCTGATATTACTATAGAATTCCTTTAGCAGACACATGCTTCTTGAACACTGTACACCACTGCATTAATTTACTGTTTATATTTGACAACAAACTGTCTTTTCTGTCCAAGTGAACTTAAGTATGGAGTTCTACCCCTTGCATTAAATTAAAAGAGTATAAATCATGGATTTTTTTTTCTTGTTAAAGGGTGTATGAATACATGTAGTACTAATCTGTTCTTTTGCAAGGTTCAGTGCATCACCAGTTTTCTTATAGTTTCATAATTCTCTATCGTATTTGCTGTAACTCTTTAGTCATATCTCTGTTTTATTTTACAGGGCATTGAAAAAAGGCCTGATTGAGCAAGAAATGATTGATGATTATGATCCAGCACTCATGTTCACCATTCCGAGACTGGCCATTGTATGGTATGTTTTGATGTTTAGGCTTACGTATCTGTATTAAATCAGGCACTCAGCTATCCACCCAAAACTGGGTACACAATATAAAACAAGGGTCCTGGTAGTACATTTTTCAGGCACACAGCTAGCCACCCCAAAACTGGGTACATAATATAAGAAGGTCCTAGTCCCCTCTGTGCCCCAAGTAAGCATGGATCAAGGAGAAAACCAGGTGTAGACAGCTGCCTTCTCTGGAGTGCAGATTCCAATTTTTAAAACCTACACATGGTTAAGTTATTGAATATTACAATGTAGTTCCTATAATTGAAGTTGCCAGTTCCTGAATTTATAATAAGGAAAAAACAAATCATAAGTATGTTTCAGAGACTATATATGAATAAAACATGTTTTATATAAAGATACACTTATGAACAATTTCTTTACTATTGAAGAATTTTAACACTAAGTCATTCATATTTCAGTGGTTTACTGGTGTATCCTGAGGGTCCACTGAACCCTGATTTAGAACCTTCCAACATATCAGAAATGTTTAGACCATTTCAGACTCTGCTACAAAAGATCAGGTAGGGATTTATTCAGCATGCATATCTGTGTATAGGTTACTTTGTTTAAAAGTTCAGAATGTTGTAAGTACCAGTAGATGATGCTTATATCAAAAGTTTCAAGTTAGCTACTGTGCACAACTGTTGTTTATATTTAGAAGTTATAATTAATGGTATAAAATTTACTTCAGGATCAAATAAATAACTTGTATCTCTTACTGTAGGGAGCTTCTCCACACGCTAAATGAGAAAGAATTAAGTGCTTTAGAGGGTGCATTGTGTAGTGCTGAAGAACCAGAAAAAATTCTGTCTAAACCTGAGCAGAAGGATGAATCCTCCCAGGTGGACCCTGGATTTGAAGAGGAAACAGAATGTAGTACGTCCACCACCCTGACCGAAATCACTCGGCGTCTGGAACAAGAGATGACCCAGATCTCTGACACTTCTATTGACCTTTTGACCCCAGAACAGGAGGCATTAAATGTATCAAATCTCCCATTTGATGACTATTCCCCCACTAACACACTTGTGGATTCCTTAGAGGGTCAAGAGTCTCTGAACTCAAGTCTCAACAAGTCAGAGAGCCGAGATTCGGGGCTTCAAAGTGAGAATGTGAGCACTTCAGAAACAGTTATGTGTGATGCCAGTACTGTCAGCATCTCCTCAGATTCTACCGTTGTTTGTACAGAGACTCCCAGTGCCGATTCTAATTTAGCCGACCATGACGTACAGTTTTTTTGTAGAGATATTGTTAATGAATTAGTGAATCGTGCTACCAGTGGAATTCCCCCGTACAGTAGACAAAGTAGTCAGCAATATAACTTGAATCTGGAAATTCCTCGGATTTCCGCATCATCTATCAGCAGTTCACCTTCGACTTCCTCTCTTTCTTCTGACAATTCTGTTGTTATTTCTGAAAAACCACCACAAACCTGCCCAGACCAATCCCATTTTAATTCTGACGTCCACCAATCAACTATATCTTTAGAAAACAAAGATGCCCATAGTATCTGTGATATTGCCAGTAACACAAATCTTGTGATAGACACCATTGTTTGTGATAAATACGAGGGCCCCTCAGAGCCTCGACCTTCACCAGGATTACCGAATGATAGTGAAAATAGTGACAAAGACTCAACCAAAGCCGGTACAAGTGGAACCAGTAAAGGAAACTGTACTGAGGAACCTCGCTCGAGTGAGAGCACTCGTAATCTTGAGCATCCTCGCATACAAAGACTAAGATATACAACTGACAGTGTGAGTTCCAGCTTTTCTAGTTGCCATAGTAATACTTATGATGCTGAGTGGGATAGAGAAAGGTAAGGACATTGAGTGGTTCTTTGTGCTGTGCTGTGTTGATTACTTTCAGTTACTGAATACTGTATACAGGGTTATTTTCACCCCGTGTTATTTTCACCCTTTCACACAAACAATTTTGCCCCATTTTAAATTCACCCAGTCACAATTCTATTTAAGAAATTATACTGTGTTTTTTGAATTTGCCCAGTTCTAAATTTGTCCACCTGTGAGTAGGGCGAAAATTTCCTTGTATACAGTATTATTGATTTTTTTCCCTTTGAATTTTTTAAATGATTTATTTTTTTTTTAATTTTTCAGTGATGAAAGTTGTGAGACTAGTTCCTACAATTCTGAAAGTAACGATGATGAAGAGATCACCCTTGCAGTTCAGGCCGCAGAACTCGCTTCTCGGAAAGAGGCTAGGGCCAGGTTTAGAAGCAGCAGTGACCTAATTCATAGACTATTTGTTTGCATATCAGGTAAGGTATAGAGGATCCATCTTATGTGTGTATTTCCCAATTATTCAGACACGTACATTGTAAGAAAAAGATTTTAACAGAATCGGCAAAAAAACTTCGATGTACTTGAGGACTAAAGGTTTTGAGATTTAAATAAAGAAAAAATTAATGGAACTTCAAAATCACTTTGACATACCCATGGTATTTGAAATTTTGATATTCAAGATACCAAAGTTCAATAGTAGATACTTTGCTGAAACTTGCAAACTAGTCATTTTGAAATGATACACTTTTTCATCACCTGGCCAAAATAGTTATATTTTTTTATACCCAGTCATCACTCATAAAATGTATAATTATTATCACAGTATTAAAGTTACAGTAAAAATCACTTATAAAGAATATGCTTATAAGGAAATCTCAGTTATTGGGAACTTTTGATAAATCTGGAAGTAAAATTGTTACTTTGTTATGGAATATAAAGAATCCCAGTTATAAGGAAGTAAAATTTGAGGTTCCAGTTACTCCCTTATAACTGAGTTGTACTGTACATGCATTTAAAGGTACTTCTCAATAGAAGAGTGATTGATTTTCAATAGAAGAGTGATTGATTTATTGATTGATTAATTAACAGGAGTAGCAGATCAGTTACAAACAAACTATGCTGGTGACTTAAGAAACATCCTGAAGTGTGTGTTTGACATGAACTGCTCTGATCCCGTCATAGTGCTAGATGAAAACCCAAAGAAGAAATTCGACAGACACCCCAACTTCATGTCACGTAGAACCAACAGATATGGACATCGATCTACTTCTAACAGACCTCGAGGTAAAGTGCTCGTATCTGGCATGAGTGTTTCATATATGAAGCACTAATGTACAACTCTTTAATAGTATGTTACATGTCACTATCTAATTGTTTTACTTCCTGAATCATGGGAATGGATTCCTGCAGCTTGCTTTTAATTTGCTTTCATTATGTATTTGCATGTAAATGCTATTAACTTGATCTCCATTTAATATTATTGGTATCTTTAGACATTTGCTAAACTGTTTTACTGTTTGCTAAATTGTTTTTTAATGTGACATACATTTCCTGAAAAAAATCTTGTCTGTACATTGAGAAATGTAAGTTGAAGTTTATTATAACCCACACAATGAAAATATTGGAGGGTTGTTAATGAAGTTGTCCTGTCTGTCTGTCTCTCTGTCTGCTTATTTATAGATCATGGTCAATGTCAATGTTCAGAAAATTTCCCATGTAATATCTAAACCAACTTGTATATATAGTACATCTTTGAAAGCCTAGTGTGGTGCACCCTTTAAATGCTGTACCAGATCTACATTTACACATGGATGACTCTAGTTAAGGACAGCATTTAAGAATATTTTTATTTTATTTAATACAAGTGATATACAAACCAGATCTGAACGTATAGTCAATCTGATTAATATCAGATCTTTGTTACGCTCCGAAATTCTGATAGTCGCTTTGTACAGCGACTATCTGAATTTCGGAGCATAACAAAATTCTGATTTTAATCAGATTGCACATATAGTGTATCTTTGAAAATTGCATACATCATATGCTGCATTTTACATAATTTTATGCTTCAAAACAAATCACAAGTGACATACAGTGTATTTGGTGTATATCTTTGCTATTGTTTATGCTTTATATTCATTCAGTATTTGAAATGTAACATGTTTGCAATATGTCTTCGTTGAGACCAGGGGTATTTGTCCCATTAGGTCTACTGTAGTTTAACATGAAATTCTCTAAATGAATTGAACAGATGAATTTGAAGTTAAAAGTTTTAACAACCATTGCAAAAATCTTTAATCATATGTTACATGTATATAAGTTAAAGTACATGGAGATTTTGCTGTTTTTCTAATAGCATGTAGAATATGTTTATTGTAGAACCTCCACAATGGGTACCAGATGATCAGATGGAGAAGTGTATGGCTTGTGAGATTCCTTTTAACTTTGTGAGAAGACGACATCACTGCAGAAACTGTGGAAAGGTCAGTGAATGATTATCTCTGACATGTAAGGTCATTTAATCAGTCATGTATGCTTGAAAGGCTGTTTTGGTAAACTTTTTGTTGAATTTTGCTATCAATTCACAGTTGTAAAAAAATTACATTGCAAATATTCTCTTTTTCTGATATGATAAACTGAAAAAAAAACTTTGAAAGGTAATGTGCCCTTGAGTCAAATTAAGAAATTTCCAACTACAAAATTCACAAATTTTCATGAGCGTTATTTATATTTTAATCATCCAGATCTTTGCTACTTTGATAAAAGATAAATGTTTTAATCTTACTTTTATGAAGTCTTTATTTCTATTACAGATATACTGTGGCCGATGTTCCTCCAACTTTGTTCCTCTTCCTCATTTTGGCTACATGAATCCTGTCAGAGTGTGTAATCACTGCTTCCTGTTCCAGGTCACGCCCTTTACTGTCAACGAATGAAAAATCACCTTACTTTTCAATTTCAAAGCTTAAATCTCTGTTTTTTGTGAATTAAGGCAAATGTTAGTGTGTACATTTTTTTTTTTCTTTCTAATTGCTGAAAGCAAAGCTTTCACTTGGAATTTTTAAGCTTTCTGTTAATGTCTGTCAACTGCCAGGAAAACCGTAGTTGTATTTTGAAAATTTAAATGCTACAGGCCAATATTTTAAAATTAAAAGCAATATTTGCTGTCCATACAAAAATTGTTTTGAATGTTTTCAATCATTTAATACCAAGTTGTAAAATGTGTTTTCCTTTAATATACCTGCTAAAAAGTTTTAACATATAACTACGTATTTTGCAGGGTCCTATGAAATATTTGACCATTGCTGTATACTATGAAATCTATGACTATTGCAGTATCTTATAAAATCTATGACTCTTGTAGTGTCCTATGAAATTTATGACTATTGCAGTGTCCTAAGAAATCTATGACTTTGCAGGAGCTTATGAAATACAGTTTAATCTTAATTTCTGGAACATTGTGGGACTGTCAGAATTTTATGACATCTTCATGGCTTTTGAAAGAATTCAACATACTCCTGATGTACAACATATCAATGCAATAAAAACAAAAACAAACAAAAACAAAATTAAACTGTAATTATATTGATTTATTAGGTTACATTGTAAAGATAACTTAAATGGTAGCGTGTCTTCCTTATTTTAAAATCCTTTTTTGGGAAGGTCACATAATTCATAATAATGCAGCAAAACCTGATACCGTATACAGCAACTGTTAAAAAACAAATGATTTATAGGTGGGGAAGCCTATCTTTTATAAGTTTGTCTTATATTATAGCATTTTTAATCAGTTATAGAAACCATAATATAATTTTCTGAAGAGACATATTGTTTTATATTGTAATCCATATATCTTGAATACATGTTTTGTATTCAGTTAAAAATTGTGTGATATGTCTAACTAATGTGACACTAAAGATGGGGGGGGGGGTAAAATGAAGAGGATAACAGGTTAACAAATATTGCAAGAATTTAAAGATGTGGAAAAATTTCCTTGTCAAGTTCTTTACTAAGATAATAGAGGGTCTACAATCATTGAATTCTCAATACGTGTGTTCGGAGTCTGGCATAAATATGAAATAAAGATTGAAAGAAAAATGTTTTTATCATGGATTTAATTAAATCAAATGGGAAGTTTATAAAATAACAAAAAAGAAGCAAAAAAAACCCTACAAAATAAATTCCCTATTTTGAGGAATTGAATCACTAAAATTTTGAAGGGCAAAGATGACCCAGTACATGTATGCATGTTTATGGTTTTAAATTCAAATAAGGATGGATAAGTGGTAGATTTTACTAACATAAGGGTGAATATCATTGTACAGTGTATTAATTTTTGTGTATTCCTTGATTTGGAGTACATTCACTTCTTATAGTTGGACTACCTCATCACAGTAACAGTGGGCTTTTCTGAATAGTTTGAAGCATTTATAGAATACAAATGTACATGTTTTTTCAAAGGCATTCAATTTCGTGTAGAATCGTCATTGCAGATAAGTTAGAAGAAGATAGGATGTAGTATAAAGCTGTGTTTATTTAGGGAATTCAATCTTTGATGCATTTATAAACACATCACAAGTGCAATTATGTGGTAAAAAATGCAATTTATTTTCATTACTTCCTTCATGTATACTAGGTAGTAGGTACATGTCAATTTCATTTTCATGTATGGAGTGATATCGTTCTTGGTTAAAGCTTGGTCTGCTCCAGCCACTAAGTGTAATTGATGGCTTAAGTATATAGGGTTGTACATGTAATATTTATTATTCAAGAGGTTGTATTTTTAATTGTTTTTTTTCACTAGCACCCTGATGTTAATTAATGTAATTAAGAAGTCAAATTGTACTTATTTTTCAATTTCAGTCAAAAGAAAATTACACTCTGTGAACTACATGTATATGCTTAACAATAATTGACAAGAATTGAGCATGTAAACCATGTTCTTGGGCATGAGCAAAGAAGTGTTTAACTTAATAAATTAAATTTAGGCAGGCAAATTATGAAGCTTGAATCATTATGCTTCTATAATTATTTGATATTGAAATGGTTTAAAATGGTTATATAAGATATGTCATTTATAAATTCAGTAAAACCCCCACAAATATTGAATTCATTTATGTTAGGTAGAAATATGCTAGAATTTGTGTGCTTTTAATTTTATTGTTCTCCTGAAGAACATACATGTAATTAATTTGTATTGATCACTAAATAAAGTAATCCATAATGTATATTAGAGCAATACATTACCAGATATCCTATATTGTACTTGCTTGCAAGTAAAAGAACTTTAAATGTTAACAATATAGTGTTTATTCTGATATTAATGCAAGATCTGCAGATACACATTATGTCTTTACCCAAATGTTCCATTAAAGTTTGATCACAAATTCTCAATTTTTCTGTTGTTCTTTGCATTCATTGTCATAGAGTGTTTCTCTTATAAAAACCACTTTCCTTAAACAATCCATTAACACAGCTAAACTAGTTAGAACCAGTTTTTCAAGGCCACCTATGTGAAATTTTTTTTTTTTATATAACTTCCCTTACTTATATAGCAATATATCCATACCACCTGCATATGGGGTTTGATTTGACATGCAAGAGCATGTTCTATGAACAATTTCTAAAACGAGACAAGCTATTGACAAACAAATTGATGAAACAAGGATATCAACAGTCTCGTTTGCAGTCATCATTTCGCAAGTTTTATGGTCGATACAATGACCTTGTCAGCACATACAACCTATCATTGTATCAAATGCTGACTGACATTTTTCATACTAATTGTTAGGCCATTATTTATACACTGAACTGTCGATGGATTTTTCCGTTTCTTTTTTCTTCCGATCATGACAAGGAACACACAGCGGGTTTATCACGTATATCTACACTCAATCTCGTATTATCATACTTTAGCTCAGATACGCTATATATAGCTTTAACCCTACTTTATACAATTATTTATACAGACATAAATATAAACAATAAAATGTCTTTCTTTGTTAATGCAGAATTACCAGTTGTAACCATTGTGGAAAAAAATTACATAACCCATTTAAGCAGGTTATGTACTTTTTCTGCAATATTCATGAACATTTGTTCCAAGATACATGCATATGTTAACTGTAAACCAACTTTTATTCGTGTATGAGAAAAAATCTGCAAGTTTTGCAACCTTATTTTACTCACAAATGTTTTCAACTATGAACCATTTTCACCCTTTCCCACTTGCAAGAAATTTCGCCCCATTTTAAATCCGCCCAGTCACAGTTCTGTTTAAGAAATCATACTTAGTTTTTTGAATTTGACCTGTTTTAAATTCGCCCACCCATGAATAGGACGAAAAGGGCGAAAATTTCTCAGTATACAGTATCAAACTGAAGAATTGCCAATAAAAGTTGTCGTGAATAATAGTTAGTTTACAGTACTAGTATATGATTGTCCCCTTACTGAAAGTTTTACTGGTAAAGCAGAAGAAGGAAGAAAAACTACAAATGCTTTTTACAGTTTTTAGGCAGATATAAATTAACTGAAAGCCTTCTGAAAATAAGATAAAATGTACACTGTTGCTTTCATTATTTTATTAGGTGTGATCCATATGTAGTAACATGTGCTACAAAGTATCACTAAGCAGTCAAACAGTAGTGCCCATCTTCAACAATGCACAAAAATATATCAGTATTTTATCACAATGAAAAAAAAAAATCTTCATAGATTCAAAGCTATTGTACAGAAAAATGCTTTATACATTATTGAGGAATATAAGAACACATCTGCTTATAATTGTAGCTTACACATTTGTGTTTTAAAATACTTCTAGTAGTTTGCCATCACAGATATCAATTTAACATATAGTACAGATTTGGATTTCTTTTTCAACACGAGGCTTATGAGTCTTAATGGTCACCTGAGTATCAAATAGCAAATTTTTCTGCCATCTACTCCTTTGAAAAATTTCAGAGCATTTGATTTCCCAATTTAGTCCAAAAAGATGTAAACAAAACCTTTCATACTAATTTTTGAGTTCTAACAAGGGAAGTAATTCAAAACTAGCCCATTGGCCGAGGGGTGCAGGAGACTATTAATGATAAAGGATAAAAAGTGGACAGCAATAAGTTATCTGAGTGACTCAGGTGACCCTAAATTATGGGTGAGACAGGTTTTATCAATGTTAATAAAAAGCAAATACATGTACCGGTAATGCAATGTTAATGCCATCTGCTAATCACTTTTTTAAATCCTAATTGCTAATTTAACCATAAATTGCAGTATCTTATCAATTTAAATATAAAATTCTACATAAAAATAGAACTGATGTACCAAGTACAGCACTTCTGAAAATGCTTTATACATGAACCTACATTGTATAGAGCATTTATAAAGTATATGTTAAAAAGAAAAACAACCTGATTCCCATCTCTGCAAATTATTATTAATTTTAAAAAATGAATTGTAGAATTTAGGTTACTGTAACTTTGTGTATCTTTCAAAACAAAAAATACTTTGCATACAACCCCCCCCCCCCCCCCCCCAGTTTTGATATTATTGATATTTACAAAATCTAAATCCTCAGATCTCATGGAAAAAGGGAAACAAGAAAAACCAGTTTGAAGACATCAACAACTCTGATTATATACATGTATTTATTAACAGGATGCCAACTATGTGTGAGCGGAAATAAATTCAAGAATGAACAAAATTTAAAACAGGTTTCAATTTAAAATGCAATAGAAAAGCTGTGACACTGAGTAACACCTATACTTTAAATTGTTTGGGAGGCACAGGAGAGCATCTGAGATCTTTCTATGATGAATATTTGTGAAATTTTTGTTTACCAACATGCTTCTGTAAATCATTATATTGGCATTTCTTGAAATAACAAGAGGCCCATGGGCCACATCGCTCACCTGAGCACATTGGCAAAGGGGGGGGGGGGGGGGCTTCAATATTAAACTACCTGATGATGCTTCCATGTCAATATATAATTTGTTTTAACAAATGGCTTTGTTGTACTTGAGAAGATTTTAAAAAAAAATTCCCATATATTCTTCTGTAAAAATTTGATCCCCCATTGTGGCTCCTCCCTATCCCAGGGGTCATCATTTGAACAAACTTGAATCTACACTACCTGAGGATACTTCCATATCAATATGACTAAACATAGCTTTTCTGTTCTTGAGAAGAAATTTTTTTCTATATGTTCCTATGTAAAACTTTTGATCCCCTTATTGGGCCCCACCCTACCCTCGGGGGTCATCATTTGAACAAAATTGAATTTACACTACCTGAGGATGCTTCCATATCAAATGACTAATCATGGCTTTGCAGTTCTTCATCAGAACATATCTTCCTATATATTTCTATTTCAGACTTTTATCCTCCATTGTGGCCCCACCCTACCCCCGGGGGTCATGGTTTGAACAAACTTGAATCTACACTACCTGAGGATACTTCCACATAAATATGATCAATCAGGGCTTTGCTGTTCCTGAGAAGAAGATATTTAAAGATTTTTCCTATATATTTCTATGTAAAACTTTGATCCTCCATTGTGGCCCCGCCCTACCCCCCGGGGGGTCATGATTTGAACAAACTTGAATCTACACTACCTGAGGATGCTTTCATATAAATATGACCAATTAGGGCTTTGCTGTTATTAAGAAGATTTTTAAAGGTTTTTCCTATATATTTCTATGTACATGTGAAACTTTGATCCTCCATTGTGGCCCCGCCCTACCCCCAGGGGGTCATGATTTGAACAAACTTGAATCTACACTACCTGAGGATGCTTCCATATAAAAATGACTCATCATGGCTTTGTTGTTCTTGAGAAGAAGATTTTTAAAGGTTTTTCCTATATATTTCTATGTAAAAATTTGATCCTCCACTGTGGCCCCGTCCTACCCCCGGGGGTCATGATTTGAACAAACTTGAATCTACACTACCTGAGGATACTTCCACATTAATATAATCAATCAGGGCTTTGCTGTTCCTGAGAAGAAGATTTTTAAAGATTTTTCCTATATATTTCTATGTAAAACTTTGATCCTCCATTGTGGCCCCGCCCTACCCCCAGGGGGTCATGATTTGAACAAACTTGAATCTACACTACCTGAGGATGCTTTCATATAAATATGAAAATTAGGGCTTTGCTGTTATTGAGAAGAAGATTTTTAAAGATTTTTCCTATATATTTCTATGTAAAACTTTGATCCTCCATTGTGGCCCCGCCCTACCCCCAGGGGTCATGATTTGGACAAACTTGAATCTACACTACCTGAGGATGCTTCCATATAAATATGACCAATTAGGGCTTTGCTGTTCTTGAGAAGAAGATTTTTAAAGGTTTTTCCTATATATTTCTATGTAAAACTTTGATCCTCTATTGTGGCCCCGCCCTACCCCCGGGGGTCATGATTTGAACAAACTTGAATCTACACCCTGAGGATGCTTCCATATAAATATGACTCATCATGGCTTTGCTGTTATTGAGAAGAAGATTTTTAAAGGTTTTTCCTATATATTTCTATGTAAAACTTTGATCCTCCATTGTGGCCCCGCCCTACCCCCGGGGGTCATGATTTGAACAAACTTGAATCTACACTACATGAGGATGCTTCCATATAAAAATGACTCATCATGGCTTTGCTGTTCTTGAGAAGAAGATTTTTAAAGGTTTTTCCTATATATTTCTATGTAAAACTTTGATCCTCCACTGTGGCCCCGCCCTACCCCCGGGGGTCATGATTTGAACAAACTTGAATCTACACTACCTGAGGATGCTTCCACATAAGTTTCATCTTCCCTGGCTTTGTGGTTCTTGAGAAGAAGATTTTTAAAAGATGCTACTAATTTTTCACCTATTCTTCATTATCTCCCCTTGAATGAGGGCGTGGCCCTTCATTTGAACAAACTTGAATCCCCTTCACCCAAGGATACTTTGTGGCAAGTTTGGTTGAAATTGGCCCAGTGGTTCTTGAGAAGAAGTCGAAAATGTGAAAAGTTTACAGACGGACGGACGGACAGACAGACAGACAGACAGACGGACAGACGGACAGACGGACTACAGACAAAATGTGATCAGAAAAGCTCACTTGAGCCTTCGGCTCAGGTGAGCTAAAAACAAAATAAAATAATTTTCTAAAGAAAGCCATGCTTTAACATACATGTACTGCAGTATATCAATCAGACATTATTTTTAACCTTAATCACATTGTCAAAAATATGCCGAATTACACACAATATTTCTTTAAATATGAATGTAGTTTACAGACAGAAAGTAAACTTTCCATGATTTATAAAAATAAAATTCCACCAAAATACATGTATATCATAAAACTCTGTACATCTTTTACACAGTAATATCACCTCTGAATCCATAACAGATTATTTTTTCATGATAAATCTACAACATACAACATATAACACACAAAACTGTGTGTAAATATTGCACTAAGATTAATGTGCTAAATTAACACATCATAACACATTTCCTTAACTCTCCAAGTCATTGGAGTGTATAATGTAAAACATGGCAGAGAATTAAAAACCCTTCTTTTGTTAAACCCTGTTAATCAAATTCACTGCATAAACATCATCAATAAGGAAAATGTGCTTAAATACAGCATTTAATTTCAAACTTAACAGGATATGGCCATGTAAATATAATGTACATTCAAATTTAAGAATAATGATTTAAATTTATATTTGATATGCAAATTAACAGTCAACAAAATTTTCAAAATACTAATGCCCAGTGGAGGCAAATTTCTATTTTATCTTTTCCCCTCCAAGTATGAACTTGACCTGTTATGTTACAAATCTATATTTGGTAACTTAGCTTCATTTGTAGACTATGAAATACATGTACAAACATAAAGTTGCCACCTTGTTTTGTTCAAAGGTTATGTCACTCTAAAATGTTAAAACAAGGACAAACAAACAGGCAAACCAAAACTATGACATACTTTCCTCATGGATCATTGTATATAAAAATAAATTCAATATTTCTCCTTCAGTAAAATTATGGTCAAATATGATTCAATATTTTTCCAAAAATATACTACAAAGACATCTATCATGAACACCAATTGAAAATGGCATACAGGTGCTTTTGAAAAGCTTTATCACATGAAATTTGGCAAAGATTGGAAAAGCACACATTCAATACCTACCTTGTACAAATGTTGCATAATGTAAATGTACAATGATATATGAAAAAGATTGTACAGATATCCTGTACAAATATCCAAATGCCTTTTGGCATAAAACAAGTGTGTACAGTTCAAATGAAAATACATGTAGTTTTGTTCTCCAACAAACTTGGAGGATAAAAGGGGCATCAAAATATAATATATAAAATTTTACAAAGTATTTCAATATCACCTTTTCCCTATAAAATTTTTAAAATACAGTAGATAGAAAATGCAAATTAATCTGTGTTCTGGAGTTATTCTTGGGCCAGAAAGGTCAGTGGAAGAGGCTTACTAACAGCATGGCTAGAATCCCACCACATAGACACAGAAGCTGCTTCAAAGATTCCCTAAAAGAGAAGAATTCCATTAAGTACAGTAAACTGGCCTGTATAGATTTATTTTCTTTACTGTAAAGATGGAAATGTACATTTGTTGGTAATGTATTGTTAAAGTACATGTGTTATATATACCGACATAAAATAGTAATATGAGGGGATAAGAGTAATAGAAGTCTAATTACATTGTATGTTTTTCATCTAGGAGATCTGGGACTACAGTGACCAAGGCAATATAGATGAATCCCCCCGAGGTAAAAGGAAGGATCCATGCTGTACTTTCCCCTACAAAGAAAAAAAATTCCCTATATGTTTACATCCTTTCACTATTGTATAACAGATGAATTAATTTTTTTTTTTTTGATAATATCAATCAAATAAGCCCCATGAACTTTTTTAAAGATAAGAACTTGGAATCCGAGTAAATCTCTAAGTGCAATACTTTTCCCTGATTCATACCGGCAGATTCTGCTGACTCTGCAGTTAGAGCCGTTATCACTCCCAGAATGCCTCCTGTCGCTGTCATCATCTGAAAAATAAAATAAATTAAATATCGACAATTACAGGCAGTGCTCTCGATGTCATCCAACAGTTATAAATATTGATTACTGCCAGTCTAATTACACCATTCTCTTCTGCCTAAGTGACCCAGCCAAGATTAATTGTTCATTTTTCAGAATTGAGGCACAATATTTTTCCAGTATGGACGTTACAGAAAAATCAATAAATAAAATACTACAAGTGGCCATATGATTAATTCTCAGAACATTTTTCCCCAAAGAGTAATGAATTCTTGAAAAATTCCAAATGAGGAAATTGATATAGTACAATTTATTTGAATCATTACTTGAACCATTTTTCATCTATGCTGACTCAATTAACACAAAACAAGACAATTTGCAACTCTTCTAAGACTATATTTCATGCTAGTGCATGAATTTGGTCCATTCAACTGCAGTAATAGTACATGTACACTACAAAATGTTAAATTAGCATAACATATATTACAGCTACAGTGTATAAATGCTACTAGAATGTATCCAAAATGCTCATTTCTGCAGGACTTTGTCAAGAAAAAGTAAGTATTATAGTCAATTTGGTACTTGCACATTACCTTCAGAACAGCTAAGTTTTTTTTTTCTTTAATTTCTTTTTTAATTTATATATACCCAATCATTAAGGTGACCATTCAAAAAGAAGTCACTGATCAAAATACTCTGCATGTGGGTTAACAATATGGGCAGTAATTTTAATTACAGCAGATATTATATGACTACTATAATTGTAAAACATTTATACTGCTATGTACAGACATCCTTTGCAGTTTTTTTTATACAGTACATGATATACCTTTTAAACAGATTGAATTAATACAATTAGACAAATTAAAACAAGTATTTCCTTTTTACAAAATGGGGAGGGGGGAGGGGGAGGACTTCATGCCCTGATCACTTCATTGTGCAGTGGCACTTCTGAAACAGAGACTGCACAAAATTTCCAATCACCTTTGTAGATCCAACAGTGAATGACTTACAGATACTATAAATTACCTGTGCTTTAGCAGCTTTCCACCTGTTGAAGCCTGATCTCAACAGAATGGCAAAATCCCCCACCTCATGTGGAATCTCATGTAAAAGTATGGCTAGTGTGGTCACAAAACCAACCTAAAAATGTAAACATATGCATGTATTAAAAAGGCCTGAAAATTCAAATAGGTAAGCAACATTTAGTCCTGTGTACATTTCAATGCATTTTAAAAATGTGCATGTCATGAAAATTATAGGAAAATCTGTAATGCAGATATGTGATGCAATCTTGAACTTCAGCAAAATTCTGAATATATATTATGATCAATCAAATAGATTAAAAAAAAAACTTAATGATACATAAAATCGCACTTTATAAGGTAGACTGCTCCCCTAGCCTACATGGGTTCCCCTTAGATATATACAAGAGAGTAAATCTTATCTATAAAGTAAAAATCCTGACTGAGGAAGATGAAGTTTCAGTATATGTCATCAGTGATTCAATGTTTTATCTCCTCCATGATTTAGAGGTATACTTTGTATCTCTAGAATGGTTCAGTCTGTAACTGACTTCCATTTCAGTTACAATTCTACAATTATTGCTTCCTGGAAAATATTTGTGATAATTTTCCAAATTTTCCAAGTTCTCTGGTAAATATTTGTTGCAATTCTCTAATTCTTACTCACTGAAAACATCGTAAAAGTATGTCCTATATTTTTCACCTTGATTAAAATCATTACTGAGAGGCATATGAGAAGTGTGCCTGTGTCTTAATTTACCATCATCTTTTTTTATATGAATCCAGGTTTCTGCCAAGAACTAATTAAATCTGAACGTAATCTTATTGTATTCAATTACAGCCTCCTGTAAATACAAGCAGTGTGTTGTTTACCCATCTGCTCTCTGTCTGTTAATCATCATCAAGTTTTGTTTTACATTACGCTACTGGCCTATCCCCAAGATTCTAATTACTGCAGTTAGCACTGACAATACGGAACTTCCGAGATACCGGGATATAACGGTTTTCGTTCTGATTTTATACACCATTGTCACGTGATAATGCTGAAATGTAGGGCATATTTTGTTGACATCGAAACAAAATGGAGCGTAACGTGGCAGACGAAAACAAGCCCCAAAAGAGAAAAAGTGAGAAGAATGGAGACGAACCAAGTCATTATTGGTGTTCGGTGCCGGGTTGCACATCAGATGGCAGGAAAAAGGCCAATTTAATTAAATATCCGTGGATGAGAGGAGTACAGTTCTATCCATACCCAGGAGCTAAACGTAAGGCAAAGCTAAGAAAGAGGTGGTTGCAGCAGGTTTTCAGGGATGAGAAGTATGCTCCAAAACGCTACCATTCGGTATGTTCACGACATTTCATAGATGGTTGTCCAACAGAAGAAAACCCCGTTCCTACTTTATTTCCGCGCAATAAAATCGTCAAACAGTCCAGAACTACAACCTCTATAGAGAAACGTCAACAGACCAGGTGTAATTCTTTGTCGGATTCAGCTATAGCAGCGGAGAAGTCAGATGTTCATTCTACCCAGTGTACACCAATAGAATGTTTATCGGTATTGTAAATAATTGATTTTATTTCTACATCGAAAATTTATGAATGTAGGCCTATATATACACATGTATCATGATCAGACTCGGAGACATAATATTAAATGACTGTCTCTGCATGACATATACATAACTCATAAAAGTTAGGCTTAAACATATAATAAATATATTAAAAAAGCATTACATGTATATTTATATAAAAATGAATTTTTTAAATGTGTACATATACAGGATAATTAAGAAGCCAGGATTGCTTGAGGCTATATTTTATGTGTGTATCAATGAAACAAATTGTTTGAAATCAGAAATCAAATAAACAAAATATACATACAATTATGTGTAATCTTGGGTAATACTATGTAATATTAAATTTAATATTAAAAAAATATAAATGCATTATTAAGTTTAGTACCAAGAGAATCATCTGAATTGATGATATGTGAAATTTCAATGCATATTTTTTTTTCAGATGGAGGATATCACAGTTTCATGTGAAGGGAATGCAGATGTACATATACCTCTCCCTATAGCACATGAGTGTGTCATAGAACACACATCAAACGAAAACTGTTTTGAGGAACCTTGCTCCAAGACTGAGGACATTTCTTATGGAAACTGCAGTAAGTGTAATGAATTGTATGTTTCATTAGCATAATTCTGAAATGTTCTATGCAATTTAACTTTTTTGTTTTTGTAGTATACATGTATATCAATTAAACTTATAATATAAGTTATTATTATTATAGACCATGACCATGTATACAGCAAACGGTCTGTGGAACCTAGGTGCAGTGAAGATTTTGTTGAGTTTGCTGTGCAGACGGACCTGACCATGGAGGATATACATCATATGGAAACTATGACCAAAGAGACAGAACATATCCACAGGGAGCAATTTGTCAATAGAATTACACGGTCCGACTCGGCAGTCAGAAGATATTTAGGAGTGCCTAGCATAACTATGCTGTTTGGATTGTTTGGTAAGAAATTTGAAGATATAGTTTAAAATTGACCTAATACTGCTTAATATGTATTTTCTTAATTGCAGCTAATATTGATAAGTACAATATTTGAATACTTTGCAGTATTTTGTATGTTTGTTTTTGGATAAAATTTTATTTCTGCTTACAGCAATACTTGACAAAGTATGCACCAAACTCAAGTACTGGTCAGGAAAGAACAGCATAGCAAACATGAATTATGAAACCTCTGAAGCCAGAAAACCAGGTCCAAAGAGGAAGTTGACAAAGTTCCATGAGTTTTTATTAACCCTTTTTCGACTAAGACTTTCTGTCCCAGCCTTTTTGATTGGTGATTTGTTTGGTGTATCAGAGACACGAGTTTCACAAATAGTGTGTACATGGATAAACTACATGTTCCAGGTTTTCAGACCTCAACTGAAATGGCCATCACTACAGAGCATCAGAAAACATATGCCAAGGTCTTTCAAACAGACATTCCCCCGTACAAGAGTTGTCATAGACTGTACTGAAATATTCATTCAAAAGCCAAGGACACCTACTGCTCAAAGCCAAACATACAGCAATTACAAAGGACATAATACATTTAAATGCCTTGTTGGTATAACTCCTACCGGTGCATTTTCTTATGTGTCTGAATTGTGGGGCGGCAATGTGTCTGACAGGTACATTACAGCCAATAGTGATTTCTTGGATTTGATATCTGCTGGAGATGAGGTGATGGCTGATCGGGGTTTCATCATAAGAGACTATCTATTGGAGCGAAGGGCAAAGTTGGTTATACCACCATTTACACATAAATGTCGATGGGGAAAAGGGAAACGGTTAAATGCTAGTGAGATTCGGCGAACAAGACAGATAGCGAAACTACGGATTCATGTGGAACGTGCTATACAACGTTTGAAATCATATAAACTTTTATCGGGAATCCTACCAATCAACTTAAAGCCAATTGCAAGCCAGATTCTGGTTGTTGCTGCATTTCTATGCAATTTATCTAAACCTCTTGTGAAAAATTAACAAGATGCTTAATATTTTTAGTCCCCTACCGGTGAAACCGGAGGGGACTATAGGTTTTTCAATTTGTTATTTTGATTGTTGGTGTTACCTGAAAACTTTAGTTGTTGTTTTTACATATATTGTCTCATCATTGTTAATTTATCAATGTTCCATATTATACGTAAAGTATTTAATTATATTGTTAATTTATCAATGTTCCATATTATACATAAAGTATTTAATTATATTGTTAATTTATCAATGTTCCATATTATACATAAAGTATTTAATTACTGCATTTCATTTTTTTTATATTTAAAATATAAGTCAACAACATAAAATCATGAGTGTGTGGTTTTTATTGCTATCAGTTGTCATAATTTTTCAACCATTAGACAAAAGAAAAACAATACAGTGTACCATACATGATACAGCTTAATCTAAAGGGCATCAAAGTACAGTCGAGAATTTACATTCTAAATTTTAGCAAGCAGTGCAGGATGAACATAATTTATGAAAAAGGTGCTGCACTTGTTAACAATTTCATTGAAGAAAGATTCATCATAATGAATTCTATCACTTATAAAACCCATGTCTGTATAAAACACAAAGTCACACCATCTAGCATTACAAATACCAAGCTGTCCTTGAATTTGCACATACCACGGTGAATCTACCCTAAGCTTGACAACATCATTAGTGTCTCTATACAAATGATAATGACGGTCACTTGCTACATCATATGGTGTGTCACTTCTATGGGAGTAAGAGCATTTAACCTCAATTAAACCTTTTCCACAACATTTGCAAGACAAATATGCATCTGGTGATGCACCTAAAAATGGATGTTGCTGAGATATGTTTAAGCCACAAGGTCTCATTTTGGCATTTACATGATAATGGGAATACATGTCAAAAAACAATTGTTTAGCTACGATTTCATTCTGTCTTCCATACTTTATTGCATCAGTGTGTAAGGCATTGGAGTTAATATTCAGAATTTCACGTGTGATGTAATTATCATGACTACCCCCTCTAAAGTGGCATACTTTTGAAAACAAGGAAGATGTAATTCTACCATATCTGTATTTGTACCACAATTCATTTTCACTCTGACCACAAGTGATTTGCTCAACTTCTTGAATAATATCAGAATTAAACACATTTCTCAGATAATCTATCAAGGACTCTCCACTCTGAATTGTGTGTGTCACAGCATCTATCATATCAGGCGGATTTTCATGAAGATCTTCATCCTCATTTGAGGGTGGGTCTAATGTGTGTAAGAGAAGAGCACCTGTACCGTGACACATCCTATACAGTTCTTTCTCAACTTCTCTGTTAACCTCAGTGGTGGGTGTAGGGCATGGTTGGTAATCCACTTTGTTTGGCATCAGTGGAACTGTCCTGTGGGAAAAACAAATTTCCTTAACACGACAAGGCTTACTTTCCTTACGGGGCTTGTCCCAAACACACCTCACATCTGTCCCCACCTCTGTATGCCTGTCCTTATGGCGATCGCAAAAAGCTGCAAGAGCAAATGAAAGGGCCGTGCAGTGCTTGCAAGAACCATCATCCCTAAAAAGACAAAAAGTAGCATGTTAATAATTACTCCAATTTTGGGATTGACATTAATTAAATGATAAATACTATGAATATCATAAATAATAAAGCACAGAGCTGGACTTACGCAACACAGGAGCAGCCACCTGATATGATATAGCCATCAGTCTTCACCAGTAACCATGTCCTATAAGGATCCTCCGATTGACGGGTTTCTGGAGTTGTATTACACATGACATAAGAATAATCCGAATCTAATGGACACATTCGAACACTGTCAACATGGTTGTTCTGATACAACAAATAACCCTTGTCTACTTTGTAGGAATGAAGGCGATTTTGATCCCAACCAATATTAATTAAGTATACAAAAACATCAGCAATGTCTATGTCTGGTACCTTCTTTAAATCTCCATTCCAGTCACATAATTTAACCTGAAAAATGTTGTAAAACTCCAAATAAAATTCTGGATATTATAAAATCTCATATATTTGATGGTGGTGACAATTGGTAACGTTGATGCTCTCTCTCTCTCTCTCTCTCTCTCCCTGCTACAGCTTTAGTTCTGAGTAAACTCATATTCATTCAATTTACTTATTGTTGTATAAGATATATATGAGATTATTATGATTTTTTTCCAAAATAAAACTGTACCTCGCTTATGCTTGGTAACATCCGGTCTCCGACAGTTCTACGACGAACATCCATATTCACGTAATCATCTTTTGTTTCTATATCTTCTAGGTCTATTTCTCTTGCCAATTCACACAGTCTTATCAAATGAGCTTTTCTGTACATGGATGTTGTTATACCTTTCGTACTTAAGTAATACTTTAACGCTGGGACTTGATAACTATTGAAGTCTTCCATATTTGTTTACACGTTGCGTTGGAATGCGGAAGTGAATTATGCCCTACAATTACGTCTGTTAAGCGATAATATTCGAAGCGGATCCGTAACTCGAAAGTTCCGTATTGTAAAAGATAATTAAACTTATTTTGGTTATCTATATCCATTATTATTATTGACATCTAGACACTTTGATATCTAATGGTAGTATAGAGATGGAAAAAATGACAAACCCACTTCCGAACCTTTTTAAAATCAATGAATTCAACAAATTTCCTATGAGTAACCTTCCCCCTTTCTTAAATACTTTCTCTATTTAATGTTACATATTCTAATTTTATTTTTTTAATCTTCATTGCAGTAGTAGATAGAACAAGCCAGTATGAAAGATAAGTACCTGTATGTGTATTAACATTCCAGTTACCCCCCCCCCCCATAAACAGATATTGATGTATACCTTATTGCTGACTAAAAAGCTTCCACCTACAGCTAGACCATGGGTAAAGTTGTCTATGACGTTGGCCAGCAAGTTCAGGTATCCACTAACCTACAAAAGATAAAAACAAATATACTGCTTACAGTAAAAGTATTCTAAACATATGTAGTGCCAGTATAATTTTTCCACTTTCCACAGTTTAGACTTTTCCAATTCATGCATTATATTCAATAATCTGAAAATTAAAAATTCATGTAATATTCCTCTTCTTCTGACATGTTACTTTTCCTTCAATAAATGGTATGCATTTTAAACTGATCTGGACCAGCCAACCAAAAATAAGAATACATATTTTTCCTTAAAAAAAAAAGAAAAGAATTTCTTGATGTTTTTTTTTCTAGACACTGGAATTAAAAACATGTCAAAACATATGGCAGATATGATAACATTCCCTGCACCAAGCTCTTCATCAAAATCTAACTGGCATGCTTTCAGCGAATGCCATCTTTAATATATACCTTGATATCAGACTCCCCCTCTTGTTTCCCGCTGGTGTGCTGTTTGGATGATGCTGCAGAGGCTGTTTTTTGTGATGATGTAACTCTATGATTTTGCTTTTTGTAATTTGTTTTATGATTATCTGATGTACTAGTCCTTTGTTTTAAATCACAACCATTTATTTTTGGCAAATCTGAAATCTGTCTATTGTAGTTGTCTTCTTCTTCATCATCCGAATCACAATCATCATGCATCTAAAGAACACAGAAAAAAAGGCTAGTCAGTTTGATTTTTTTGTACACTGCACTGAGACTTAATTCAGGGCAACATGCACTAGACCAAAGAACATTTAAATTCTAAGTTAAGAACAGTAAAATCCATTTTATATTAAAAAAAAAATTCAAATTACACTGCAACATCTACTTTAGAAATATATAACTATTACAGTTAAAACTTTCTTAACCAGGACCTGTGCAATCTGTTTCACTGTAAATACAGAACCCTTATTTAAATTCCCATTTTACTGTTTTCTATGTTTTTTGCACTGTGCAATCTGACACCCTGTCCATTCCAACACAAAAGTTGTCTGCCAGTCCATGTTTGATTAGACAGTTTTCACTGTGTAATCATCAAGGGCAAGATATCATTCATTATCAACATTAGATAAGCTTTAATTACTACAGTATACATTGTAATTTCTATATGTATGACTATTTAACTGACAAAACCTGTGCTTCTGATCCTGCAAACAACCACAAACAGCAATTTTTCAAATATCATTCTGAATGGGGTAATTAAGAACAAGCCTGAAGTTTATCTACATGTAACAACCATGACCACACAATTACCTCACCAATACACAACCTGTTACCAGATGTCTGATGGCCTTTAATTATTTATCATGTTCACACTCAACAGTAACTGAACAGCCTTACTGAACATCCTTGTCTTGCACCATATCCTTAAAAATCAATGGCCTCTTCTTGTCTTCTTCTTTTACAATTTACTTATACCTCAATATTTGAATGTGTTGAATATCTCAAATAATATATGGTATAAATATTTACCATTTCAAATCATATCAGACTCGATCAGTGGCTGAATATGCAGTACTCAAATTAAAATCGATCATTACTACAAAAGACAATTTTTTATTCAGAACGTCTTTTTAGAAATAAGTATGTCACTTTCTTCTAGCCATTTTCCCCTGGAAGCCTGCATGCATGCTTTTACAGACAGTATTATCCCCATGAGGAATCATTCATTTAAAATAGAAAAAAAAAACTCAGAATATTTATAATGGAAAAAAGCCACTGTATGACATAAAATGAGATATATTTGTTAACACTGCATCCCTGATGGTATTAAATTACATTTCCAACCTTTTAAGAATCCATGATGAAAGAAAAGTTTAAATCCTCTTTAACCTAAAGCAGTGCAACATCTTTGAAGTCACTTATTTATCTTAGCAGACTCTAATGGACAGATTAATATAGAGACAGGTAAATTACTGTATCTTCATCAGAAAGCATTAAGATCAATATAAACATGCTTTCTGTAAAAACAAAATAACTCATAACCCAGAAGCCAATATCAATATGTGAAGATATTTCTGTTTTATACCTACATGATCAAATTCTCCTTCTTTGGCAAATACTTTTTCAATGATAAGAAATGAGAGAATTCCTGCTAAGACCCACAGGCCAATCTTTGTGTGTCCAAAATGATCATGATGTCCTCCTAAAGAAAAATAAAATCCAAAATTACTTCTCTTCATTTACACACTTCCATCATTAAAATCCTTGAAAAAAAATATTTAATTTGATATTAGACAAGAGATTCATGGTGCTAAAGCAGCTTCTAGAAAACAGGTCATTGGACTCAAGGCATATAGCTTATTTGTAAAAAAAAAAAAAAAAAGTGAGGGGTGAATTTATATTCCCACTAAAAGACAAAACACTTCCAGCAAAACAAGACAAAGTGTAAATTCCTTTTAATTGATGATATACATGTACAACCATTCTGAAGAACTAGTTTTTTTTTGCAGTCTATCAGAATTCAAGGTATTCTCAGTATCCGATTAGCTCCTGAAAGTAACATTTTCTGAAGCATAAAATGAAGAAAAAAGTTTGGCAACAAACTGCCATTTTGGGGAAATTCTTATTTTAAAAAAAATTGCTCTTGTAAACTCATTGTTCTTATAAGTGCCTTACATAGTTTGATTTTCTAATTGTGTTTCTTGAACAATAAAATGACAGGGCATTGATCTCTTTAGAGAATTACTGAAACATGTCTGTCTTTGTCATCACTCTAATGTTTGCTTTCCTCTGCAAACTAACACCATTGATTTCATAAACGTGCTAAAATGATAAAAGGATCAGCCATTACAACATTCTAAGGTATGCTCTCTTATTAATTTTTCAAAACTTATAAAGTACATTTGATGCTTATGATAGATTTTCCAAAAACCATTACTTTACTGCTCAAAAAAGTTTTAACAGGACTCCTTTTTTGCATTGAAAATTGAATCAGATGTGGATACTACGTAAAATTATCCTCTAAAGTTCCCATTCAATTTTAACATCTTGCAAACAGATAGCAACAGCTCTGACCTGTAGTTCACGTAATATAGTTGTACCCAAAAATGTTTATTATGCACATTTGTGCAATATTGATAGTTAAGTGAAAAAGTAAAGTCAGGATATATCCTAGTATTGTATTTACCTTTGTCAACAGCTGCCCATGCCTCCGGTAACAGATGCAGAAACACATCCCCAAGCAGTCCTCCTACAGCAAAACTCAACAGTAGTTTCAGTTTGTTGGCCGCTGCTGTAAAATATATATATATATTTTATTATTCCAACTGTTTTCTCTTTGATAACTCTTCCAAAGTTAAGTTTGCTAATTTCTACAAAGTTATATTTACAACTGAATGTAAATTTCGTGAGGTTAAAGGTCAAGTGACTAAAATGCATGTCAATCTCATGGGCTCTCGTTGTGTCCATCATCAGTGGTCAGGGACTATGCAAATAACGGAATCTTTAAGTATTTCAATTCTCTTAGACAGCATTTTAGATTGACCTTTTTTTTAATGTCATTTCACAAGTAAGTTGATGCATTCTTCATTCATCCTGAGATTCACTGATAATTTTAAGACTATAAAAGGGGGAAGGGGGGGGGGGGGGGCTCTGGCTATAAAACCTTGTTCTTTGTCTGAAAATGTCCCGGTATATGATTATATTTACTGAAATGACAGTTCAGACTAGTATATACCACTCAAGTGGGTGGGAATAGGGGCAAAAGGGGGTTTCAAATATATGTACCTTAAATTAGTATAATTGCTTTTTTGTGATTTTGGTGTGACTCATGTCAAATTGCCATTTTGCTCTTTTACCAAAAACTCTCATACAATCATGCTTGGAATTGTATAGATTAAATCTTCAAATACTATATATAAAAAAAAATAGATGCAAGTATGGCCATGTCCATGAGATGTTCACCACATATAACACATTCATGAATCTAATGTCTTTATGCCCTCTCAGGTCTCTCAGAACCTCAATAATGGCATCTGTTATAAAGTAACATATTCACTGAAATTTGAACACTTTCAAAAATCAATTTCTATACCATCACAGTGAAATTAGTTTGTGAATGATTGATGACGGGCATTGTTAAAATGCTGCATTTGTTTTGGATTATTGTGTATTACCCTTATGACCAGACAGACATGAATATATATGCAATTCCCAAAAGAAAATTAAATAACTGAAGCTGCATTTTACGTCTTTAATAGAACTTAGCAGTTGGAGTACACATTACAATTGTACAAAAAGATCTCCAATGCAGCAAAAAAAAAAAAAAATGCAACCATTTATCGAGGAACAAATGAATCATTAATTTGCTCTTCATTTAATTATTGGCAGATACAACACAAGGCCAATTTTCCCTAGCTTTAGGTATGCTCTCTCAAAAGGCCCATTCAGTTAGGAGCCCAGGGAAAAAAGCTGACATTAATATTTAATATTCCAAAGGGAGATAAAATACAAACATACATAGAATAATAATGTGAAAGCTGTTTTATCATTGTGCAGATAATAACCAGACCTCACAAAATAGAGAGAAAAAGATAGAGATAGAAAGAGAGCCACCTCAGCACTGAACTGGCAGCCAGAAATACTGGGGCAGGAATCAGCTGATCAGAAGGATCTTATTACATTACTGTACCAAATTAGGTGTGCTTGTTATCTATAGTAGCTATAGAAATCTATCAATGAAGGTGAACGATTAATTCATTGACAGGATACAGTGGGGGGACCAGAAAAGATGCATCTCACCATGGCAACAGAGGAGGACCCACACCACCATCACCACTCTCCCCACGCTACTCTGTCGGTAAGTCAGGGGGGAAGTCACAAAACTATTTATAGAACCCAAACTGGGCAAAGGGTCAAACGTCTTGGTAATTACTGTCTAATGACTGTGATAATCTGATCCTTCTGTGAAGAAAGTCTTCAGCATGTATATCTACTAAATATTACTGTGATCATCTGGTTTTCATTAACATTAACTGTATATATTATTTTTTTCAAAGTTATGATATAGTTTAGACATACCTACTGTTACATATGTAACAAGATAATCAAAGTTGAACATGTTTGCTTGTAAGCAGAAGTGCAATTTTTCTTTGGATTGAGAACATTCCATTATATTTTTTTTAAAGTGTATATAATATGTGCATCATGCTGAGCATATATATCCTTGCATAAGAATCTGTATGCAAAGGAATTCAGAATGAAAGTTCAGCATATATTTCTTCTGTTACAGAGTTCTATCAAATGTCAATAGGAATGCCACAGAATAAGTCTGCAGTCTACTTAAAAGATTTCAGTTGAATAATTCATATTTGTTAAGAACATTTTATGTGCAAGCATCAGCTAAGATGATATACTTCACATTTTAAAGCACTTTGTATAATTCATGAATGAAACAAAGACATCAGTGACCGTGTCATTAATGAATAATATTCATCCTGTTGCTATGCAAAATAGGGAATTTTTGTGAAAAAAAGTCATAATTACAAGATGTTACAATGAACCACAAAAATGTTGGTCTTCCTAAAGGCAAACAGGATGAGCTTCTGCTTGTTGACTATAAGGCCCAGTCCTCATGCTTTTTTCATTCCATATAATGATAGTTGTAGCCTTAAATTTTGATCACATCTTTTATAAGAGTTACATTAAATTTCTTGTACACATAAATGACATCCCCCATCCCTTTTTTAAAAAAAAATTTGAACTACCCCATTAAATCTTTTAGATTTTTAAAATGTGAAATATGGGAAGGGACAATGAAGAAAATGCTTACTGGTAAATAATTTATAGACCTGTATGAGTCCTCTTTAATTAATTGTATTGTAATGGAAATACATGTATTAATTTAAATGTCTTCTATACTTTCAGGACAGACTATTATTAAAATTGTTCACTGCACACCAAAGAGTTCTAATTTTGTGGCATTTTTATTTTGTTACACTAAATTGAGATCAATTACTCAATTTGTAATCAATTCAGCATTCTCAGCATTTTTATTTGGCCTATATAAATCAACTGATGTATATATGTATTTGAATGTTTATTTTTCCCCATTTTTAGAATGATTTATGTTCATTCTTAAGTCTGAGTATATTGTTGTCTTTAAACATCATTTTCTCAGTGCCCCAAAAAATATTTTCAAGTTTGTAAGTGTTTTTAGGGTCCTTCAGTTCATAATTGACCATGTGTTACAATGACTTATTACTGTAGATGTACTTTATCTGTGTGGGATTAATTTTGGCTTTTCCATGAAAATTTAAATGTATATTTAAATAATATGATGGCAGTCATAGAAATCTGTGTAATTTTCCATCTGTGGTTTGAACAGAAATCCTGATTCCACGAAATTTGACCCTGTGGAAAAAAGTATGCATATAGTTTCGCATATTAGGCAGTTCAATCCACACAGGAGGGATGCCAGAGACAGGACTTAAAGGGATAGCCTTATCTAATTTTATAGGGATTTTTAAGGGGATCTCCCCAAGATATAAATGAATCTGTCACTTGAGACATTTTCTTTTAAACTACAAAAATTACAAGTTAAAATTTTCTGCCAGAACAAACCCCCTCCCTTGAATCTGAAATTGATCTGTAAGTAATTGTCAGTATGAGACTGAATGCTTATTTATAATATAAAGTAAAAAAAAAAAATAATAATAAATAATACATAGTACCTATATAATCCAATATATGTTAAAATATATATAAAAAAAAGAGGTAGCATGGTCGTAGGAACTGGGGGGGGGGGGGCTCTGCCTCCCCCCAGTAATTTTTCTGATACAGTCTATATAGTATACTATAGAAAATATAGCTACTCTATCCTCATGCCTCCTTAATAATAATAACTGATGACATTTTGGTGGTGGTGGTGGTGGTGGTGGTGGGGGGGGGGGGGGTTTATCAATAATTTTTATCTGGTAGTGCCCTTCCCACCCCAAACTGAAAATGTTTTGATGTCCCCCTCCCCCCAAACTGAAATTTCTTCCTACAGGCCTGTGGTAGGGACTTCCAACTCCCTTTGACATATCCATGGTATACAGTGTTCAAGATATCAAAGTTCAACTATATAATATTTAAGTAAATCAATGATAAACCATAATCCCTTGACCTCTGAGTAAATAACCAAATCCAGCAGTCATTTTGACAAGGGGGAAATGAAATAAAGAATTGATGGATCAATCATTCCCCAAAAAGAAAAAAAAAAACAAGAACATTATTTCACTCTTTGATTTATAATTGGATTCTAGCAGCTTAAGAATAATATGGCATAATAATTTTACCATAACCAGGATTTGGGTTGAGATTTTGTAAAGAATCAATAAATATTTTCAGAGAAGCTTGCTGGGAATGATGCATGATGAAATTCCATTTGATATTCTTCTTACAAATTACACTATACTTGAAATGATAGGAAGAACAATTTTTTTCCCCTGACATTAACAGATTATTCACAAGAACAGTGTACCACATATCATAAAAAAAAAAGATACTGCATGCATGCATGTTCTGCCATGTTATCTGCATTAATAGAGGCTTGATATGTTTAATCAACAACTAGCTGATTCGCTCCATTTCCATTTAACTTCTTCAGCTGTTCTAAATTACTAAAAAACATAGGAACATTTTAGGAGATGAGCAAATACAAAGTATGTCTCTGTGGGTCTGTCTGTAATTTTGTCTGTTGCTGTTGTCCCTGAGCAGGATTGCATAGAGACACTATATTTTCAAAAAATACTATAGATACATATTTACTTTCAAAAAAAGGTATTAAATGAGTTAAAATAATTGCTGCTACTGATAGTTTTCAAATAAAGAGATGAACTGTATGTAAAATGTACCCAGAATGGGATTGAAAATTATGATCTTTTTCTTGTTTTTGTAACAAAAAAAAAACAAAACAAAACAAAACAAAACAAAACACACCCACCCACCCCACCCCCCAAAAAACCCAGTGAATTTGAACTATAAAGTATTATTGTACCTATTGTGAAATTAATGTAGCAAATCTGAATTATGAGCATACCTGCCATTATATTGCACAATAGATACCACAAAATAATAATAATTTTTTTTGCTTGTTGCTCAGTTATATAATTATTATACTTTCCCGATTATCTTTTAGCAAATATGACAATGAGTAAATGTTTTGCTCACTACAAATATACAGCTAGAGTACATGTACACTGTAAAAATGCTTTGAATCAAATATTCCATAAAGCAGAATTCCATAACTTTGCACTAGACATTCAAGTACAAGCAGATTACCTTTTAATCCAAATGTAATCAAGCAGTACACAAGATGTTTCAAGTCATCCCACTCAAAATGTTTGTAAATGATAACACATGTCTTTCATTGTGTATACATAACACGAAAGACAGAAATGGGGCCAACTTCCAGGATAAGTTAAAGACAGCATCCAATCCACCGAAAAAAACATAATTCCACCTGATTAATAGTAATTGTACAGGACAGAAAGTCATCTTAAGACAAGTAAGGAAGAAAAAAAAAGCTAATACAAAACAGTAGGGACTAGAGAGTTGAGTAAGGATGATTTATATCTTGCACAGAAGAGCTCTTTGTAAAAGGGATCTCCAGAGAACGGTCTCAAACAAATCAGGTTAATTCGGGGTTCAAAACCACATATCACACAAGGTTTCACCACATCCTTGGCCTTGACGTTTTCCAATAAAGAATATTGCTCATGCTGAAGGAGGGAGACAAAAAAAATATTCTTTGCAAAGGAAATCGAGACAAGCTGCTTCATGTAATTTAGTGAGCCAAGCTGTCAGTGAAAGAGGAGTCATTATTTTGTTTTAAGACCGGCATTTTGTCATAAAACATGTGATTCTGGGTTTTTACTGATAATGTCATGTAAAAAATCTGCGGTATCTGGGTTGATAAATTCTTGTTAGCAGCTGCTAAAACTCCAAGGATACATGCAATTAACACATTGTGCATAACTATACTACAACATGACATCTTTAAAAATCCAGGAGAGTTTCAGGGATTTTAAATCCTCATATACTTCGGTAAGAATAGCCATATTTTGATTATATTCATTAAAAATTCATATTTTTTTTCTCTATGTTTTTTATGTAACCCTTACTTTTACAACATGGGTATTGCACATTTACATGTATTCCTTTGGCTGCAAGTATGAGTTATGACATCACAGAAACAAATGATATGAACATTTCAACATAGACAACAATGGTCATTCAGCTTTTCATGGTCAGACAGTGTCTTTAAATTCAGAGTGCTATAGTTAAACGTAATTTAAATTATGAAGTTTTTGATATAGACAAGGGAATACTGTAGCTATATCTAGTGATATCAAAGGGACAAAACTCTTCAGTTAGTAGAGTACTTTATAAATTCAATAAAATTAAATAGTTATTATTGGCCTTATCTTCATAATCTAGAGTTTGGTCCAATTTGAATCCTCATGCTTATCCACTTAACTAATGAAATAATTAATTAATATTTAGATATATAAGAATTTGATAATACATTTTTTTTCTCCTTTATTTATTAGTACACATTGGATCACTTTATGGATTTCAGCTCAATGACTACAAAGACTTTTTATCTACCAAATGAATAATCATAAGTCAATCAAACTGATCTGAGTTAGAAAGATTAGTATACAAGGAATATATGGAAAATAAAACTAATATCTTCATGAGAAGACATTTTTAACAAGGATGATATAGAAATATAAACTGAAATTACATCTTCACAAAAAGATATTTGGACTTGACTCTAAAAGAATATAGTCTTTTTATATAAAGTTTTGATAATTTTGTTATTTCTCTTAGGTTTTTGCATGTTTAGAGGTGCACAAAAACTTAGAAAAGCTACGAAAATGTAAATTTATTTTAAATGTGAATAAGTATAAAAGGCCAACAAAATACCAAGGCTATATACTAGTATGACTTTTACATTTCTGAATCAGTTCAATGACATTATGAATTTTAATCATTAAGCAAATATTTGATAATACTTATCTACACACTACAATAGTATCAAGTTTTTATTACCATTAATATGTTCACCTATACACAGTCCTATAGCTTGTATAAGAAAATGTGCTAACAAGTCTATACAGATAAGATGTTTTCCTTATTACATTTAGTATAAATAATTTTGAGTCTTGCTCAATATTTTGTTTGAGCAACAAATAGGACACAGGTGACAAACATGACACCGTTATGTAATGATGAATAACAATATTACATCTAAACATGTGCTATAGCTACCGGTATAGTTATTTTTATCGAACCAGGATGGACGTGCACTCTACCTTTGAAAATTTTCTTCTATTATTAAGATATTGAAATTTAAAGGAAAATTATACAAAAAAAAAAAACTTGAATAAAGTTATTTTTGATATTCCTTGTAGGAGAAATTTTTCACAGTTGGTTATGACTTTAGATAATAAATATATTTTATAGAGATTCTGTGAAAAAGCAAGTCTTAATTATCCCAATGAGTAAAGAGTATGTTTTAAATCAGAACATTAAAAATCAGTACATTTCAAAATCTGATCTATAGTTGGATAATTTACATATTCATCTTATTGAAGATGTCATTAAGAAGGATGCACTGTAAGGTAACACTTGAAATTAAACAGTATAACACTATCTGATTATTATCACTGTGGGATATTTGTGCATGGTACAAATACATTTAAATGAAACAAAGACATATAATTCAATTCAATCTTACATATAATTCCTACATGTACATCAAAAATTATATGTCCTTTTTTGTAGTCAAACACACATTTTGGTGTCAATGTCTAAGCTCTTTTAAAATACTTCCAACATGAAAGAGAAAATAATTTTCATTAACAATGATTAATTGAATTAGTTTTGCAACATTAAGGACACAGAATTAAAAACTTGTTTTGTTGTACTTGTACTGTCAAACTAGCCAGCTAGAGCATTAAGTTATAATGGCCAGAAGAAATCTTTATATGCATACAGGATCTTTGATCTACTCCCAAATGATGGGAAAATCGGGTATATGAAAATTTTGCACTAATCATTGAAAATCCCTAAACCTGACGTACCATCCTCAGGTTGCTAGTTCTTTAGCTTTATAACTTTGGAAACAATAGAGATAATTCGAGACATTCTTTAATGAACTACATGCACCTACCGCCATGTTTAAGTGCAGGACCAGCCTCTATAGGTATAACAAGGAGAGGAAAGATGCCACTGAGGCCTACAAGCACAGCGCCTCCTACTGAATAAACCAGAACTTCATAAAAAGTTCTCCCAGCCTCTGGATCCGACATCGCGGATCGAGTTTCACTTGCCACGTCCTGAGAGAAACGATTCGGTACTCCTGTTTTTAACGTTGTTCTATGTATCTCCCCATCTGCCAGTGGTATCACAAGTAAAGTGATAACGATGACTGTCAACGACAGCTGATAGACTGCCATCGTATACATAAGATTATAGGGCCAAGAGTCCAGTGATCAAATTGGCCTACATTGTTTTTAACGTCTGCATTCGTCCTTGATCTTATCAGGTAGATCCAGCACATATTTTAGTTTCGAATTCAGAACATACACTGAAAGAAACTTGCCAGAAAGCTAAAAAAAATTGATAAAAACAAAAAAGAATGTATCTTATTGATTATTTTATTTAAATCTTAGATTATCTACATACATAAATTATTTGATAAGTCATAGTTTCGAATTTCACTTTGACGTCACTAGACAGCTCGCGGGAAAAGTGGATGTAATATTTATCAATTCGTGCTATATCAGAAGCCGAGTCAGAGATCAACGTGTGTAGTACCGAATACACAACCGGCGAGCGCTCTTCTATTTTTAAGCTTGGTGTCGATGGCTTGTTATGATGCGGTGACGAAAAATTATTGGCTTTTTGGCTTAAGAAATTGTAAAATAAGAGATTAAGATTTTTTTCTTATTTTTGAATGCCATGGATATATACGATGTTGCTCAGGATGCTACACAGATTGCAACCGCCACAAATAAATCAGATTACTGGTACATTTACCCGGTGGGTATTAAACGTAGCTTAATTAACCCTTCAGATTTATTAGACTACCTAGCATGTTTGCTAATTATTATCATTTTTATGTAGCTAAATCAATAGAAGGTAGTAAACAAACATGCATGTAGTTAATTCTTTTAACATTTTTTCAAATATCAAATTTTATTTTATCAATTTTTTATTTTCCTCCATAAAATTACCACATTTATAAAAGGTTGAAAGCCTAAATCTGATATTCAATAACTTTATGAAATACTTTTATAAAAAAAAAAAATCACCGCATAAGATAGAATGATTTTTTAAAAAAGTATTAGATTTAACATTTTGAAAATTCAAACTAAGAGCAGCACTTTATAATATAATCCATGTGTACGTAACTAAAAAAAAAGTTTTTAAAAAAATGTTGTTAATTTTCTTAACCAAGTAATTTCTAGCAGAGCATGAACTTGGCAAAAAACAACCCCATTTTCATTCATTGGGGTACCCACTAAATCCCTGTTGTTAATGTTAGAATGCAGGGGTTCAACACAGATGTAGATTAGCTAAAGAGGGTTTAGATAATGCCCCATACATGTGGTAATGTTATTAATTTTTAATCTTCAGAGGGGTCATCATGCAACCCGATTATAGATAAGATAAAATACTTTTCAAATAACTCAATGTTTTTTATCATCTCTTTTTTTTTCCATTTTTGATTCTACCCACTGTGATTGTTTCAGGGGGAAAAAGATATCTTTATCTTCCTTGACCTCCCTCCATCACTGATTTGAACTTTTAAAAGATTTTCATCCTTCCACTTGCCACCTTGAAGGGCTTTGATTAATAATCTACCAGACATGAAAGTCTGATAAATTGATTTTAGGCAGTGATAACTCTTTGCATGCAGTAAGAGATAAGACAAAAAACACAGGTAGCATTTTATATTGATCCTTTTTCTTGCTTTTCCCCTTGCATTGCAATTGAATTTAATGATCTCTTATTGTGTTGAGGATAGTGCAGGATTTCCTTTCATTTTATTTGAAGATGCAGAGTTTCTGAGATTATATTGATCTCCCTAATATCTGTTCATATCTTCTCTCCTTTACTGACCCCAGCAGTGTAAAAGGTATATTATCGTCAGTGTATCAGATTCTGCACTGGATGAGATAGGGCTGGGAGGGTTGGGATAATGAATGGAAATTGAATGGTAGTGAGAGTTGATAATAATAACAAGCATATGTGCCCATGGTTGCTCTCATCCTTTTTTTTTTTGTATCCCAAATCTATTTACTCCATACTGTGATGCACTAGTCTTTGAAAACAGATTACCAATTAATGTTTCATGTAAAAGCTTAAATAAAATGTACCTGTACTGAAATTGATTGACTTACAGTCGTCCGAGAGCTTAATAGATAGGAACAGGAAAGAACAACTGTTTAGCATATCCACCAATTCTGTTTGCAACAAACCACATTATACAAGAAAAAGTTCAATTCCCAAACATTTATTGTCTTACAAGCAAAAAAATTGAATACTTGGCTACCTCATTAACTCCGAGTGCCTCTTCATTACTTTTCCATTTTGTATGCTAGTTTAGCAATAAGTTAGAGAAAATGAACACGTAATTGAATTTAGTATTTTGCTAATTGATGCAATTCTGTTTTTATGTACATGTTCTTGTAACATATATTTCCAATGTTTCTGAGTTGTACATTGACTATTTTGCAGTTAAAAAAATTAAAACATCTTTGTTTAAAGGTCTTAGAGCAAGGGGGATGATCTCATTATTTCTGCTTTATAATAATGAAAGGGGAACATGTTTTTCATATAAAAACATTGACGTAAACATGTAGCGAGATTTTTTTTTCTTCAGCACAATGCTCTGAGAGCTGATTAAAAATATATATAAAGTGGTATTTACCAATTTTTTTTAAATTGTGGGAGAAATAACATATTTGTGCTGAGGGGGGCATGGATGCTCTTTGTAGCAGTGTTTTTTTTCCCTCCAATCATCCTGGAAAGTTATTTATCTGAATTCCTTTCAAAGCACTTTTTTTTCTTGTTGTATATCTATAATGCTCTGTGATCTTCTCTTTTTCCCTTTCAGAGTTTGACAATACACAAAATACCAGACAAGCTTCTGCTTCACATCTTTTCGTTTCTGAAGCATCAAGAACTTGGAAAAGTGGCCCGCGTTTGTAAGAAGTGGCGATTGCTTGCCTACGACCCTCGCTTGTGGACAAGCATATCTTTACGGCCAGAATATGGTGGACTGCACGTTCAGAACGTCGACGCATTACTGACTTTAATAGGCATAAGATTTGGGCCTACCCTGAAGTACATAGAACTACCCTGTGAACTGATTACTTCCCCTATTTTACATGAATTGGCAAACAAGTGTCCAAATCTTGCCTACATGACGTTAGATTTTGCCAATGCCATGCAGTTACACGACTTCAATGACCTGAACGCCTTTCCCTGTAACCTTCGGAGCCTTTGTATATGTTTATCAGAGGTCATATTCCTGGAAGGGTTCATGAGAAGGATATACAGCTGCCTCTCATCTCTAGAAGTTCTCCATCTAATTGGTAAGCTAAGGTTATGGACGAGGTAGCACAAATTAACTTGTATTATTACATTATTACCTCTCATCAATTATTGTTCTCTGTTAATTGCTTACATAATCAAAGGAATATGACCCAGCCCTATCACCTCAGCAAGGGCATAAATGTATAGCCTACTAAATAAAGAATGGACAATAACACTAAAAACATATGCAATGGAGCAAAATATTGCTGTCATAAAATATACTGTTGGTAAAATAATTCTTATGAATGCAATACCAATTCAACATCTGCTTTTGCATTAGAAATATATTAACTTACATATTAAGATTTTCACCAACTGATAATTGGTATTAGATCAGTGGATCTTTTAAGTTTGATGTCATAGATAAGATTGATGTGAACTTAAGATTTCTAAACTACACATGATTCCTTTAAATCTTTTTTTTTTCATGTTGAAATTCACAGTTGCTGCAAGCTCATGAAACTGTGATAATGATGTTTGTACATCTACTTTTTAATGTGAAAGCTGCAATGAGCCCTAATTCTAGAAATACTTTTAAAAATTAAGGCATTGATAAAATTTATTCTTCCTTTGATGTTTTCAGATGTTTTTACCAAATTATTTAAAGGATTAGCCTCATACCAAACATTTAAAACCTGTGGAATTAGCTCTTAATTATTAACTCGTTACAAGACCTCCACTTGTTCTCTATGCATGAAGGAGTCTGTGGATATCATTGATCTCAAGTATAAACCTTTACCTATAATTGTATCACTTAATCAGTCTAATAAAATCAAATTGTAATGAATTTTAAATTATTTTTTTTCGAAGAAAGAATTAAAATCTGTTGTTAAACAATCCGCAGTAACTTTATTGTGCAATGAAAATTTGATTTTGAATTGTTTCCATTTGTACTCACAATTCCTAGTTGGCATTTGAAAAAAACTAGTTAGGAGAAAATGTGAAATATTTCAATAACCCTAAAATTAAATGGATTTTTTTTTCCCACAAAGGGAAAATTACCTGGTAGATTTAAAGTATTTTTATCTTTGCATACCAATAGCTATATACTTTGACTTACACAGTCAAACCTCACTATCTTGAACTCAATGGGATACAGAAAAAAAACTTTTAAGATATTGAGGTTTATTAAAATACATTAAGTAATAATGTGTATGACTTCCAACTCACTTTGACATATCCATGTTCAAAAGATGTGGCCAACATTAAAGTTTTTGAAGTCAGGCTTTGAGGTCTTGGTCATGAGATCAAAAATCATTGTACATTCTGAAAGATCATGCACATGTGAAAAAAATATGAAAGCTCTTTTTTTTTTGGTGCAAAAGTTACAGCCAATTTTGAAATTTTTCAAAAGTTTAAACTTGAAGGTCAAGGTCTTGAGGTCAAAGAAAGGTCTTGTCACAGGAAATGCAAGTGTAACATATGAAAGCCCTGTCTGTTCAGGTGCAAAGCTATGACTAATGTTAATTTTTTTGAAAAGAAGGTCAAACTTTAAGGTCAAGGTCATGAATTAAGGTATATATGGTAAGGTCTTGTCACATGTTATGCACATGTAAAATATGAGAGCCCTGTCTCTTAAGGCGCTAAAGTGCAAAAGCTATAGCCAAGGTTAAAATTTTTGAAAAGTAAGTAAAATTTCAAGATTAAGATCACAAAATCGAAAAATCACAGTAAATTGGTAAGGTCTTGTCACAGGTAATGCACATGTGAAATGTGATAGCCCTTTCTTCTCTCATTCAAAATTTATGATCAAGCTTGGTTTAAGTTTAATGACAGACTGACAGAAGGATGTATTCATGAACAAATGGACAGATGAATGAAATTTAATGTCCCCTCACTTTCAAGAAAGTGGGGGACAATAATACAAATGCTAACTTATGTTATTTTAATTATCTTTATATTTTTTGCTGCAGCTCACTCAAATTTATTTGATATTTAATTAAAATTCAGCTAACAGAACAAGAATTCTCCCCCACATATTTTTCTTTTCATTTGGGTTTTGGTTAATAATATTTATTATCTTTTTAGAAAAAATAGTCAGAATAAAAATGATATCTCAAATTGGAAATGACTTGAAGTGCTGTTTTATTTAGAAAGAAAAGACACGAAAATAATGAACTGCATTATATCTCCACAAAAATAGAACAGCCCCATCATTGGCCATCAATCTGTGTTTGCTTGAAAACAGACAATTCTTAATTATATGTGTATCATTTTGAAATGAAGAGCTCAGACCTAAGGTGTCTTGCTAAGCTTACAATATCTGATTTTCCCAAAATACAGAAGATTTTTTAGTTTTTTCTTCTTTTTTTTTTGGGGGGGGGGGAGATAAACCAACCCTCCAATATCCCAAACCATTTTGATGTTACATGCTGCATTTGTTTCATTATTAATACATGCAAATCTGTCTCAATGGGAAGCCTCAGCTTTTTATTATTGCTAAATTATGGTCAAAATACTCTCAACAATGACATATATATGTGCAAGAGAACACAGATTATTTTCAGTACATAAGTAACACAAGAAATGAGCTACACCAACTGGAAAATGCCTGGGGTCATGGATATTAGATCAAGGTCACAAAAGTACTATCAAGGTTACTAAAGTTCTATCAAGATCATAAAAGTACCATCACAACTGAAATGTTATGAATATTTATTAGTACATAAAAAAGTATATTAAAACGTATCTGATTATATATTGTACTATATATTATATAATTTAAATTACCAACTGAGCTATGTACATATACATGTGTAACTTCAACAACATATATATTTCACTTTCATGACTAATTAAAAGTAATGAAAAATATAACAAAGATAGGGAGTGGGAAATAAGAAACACATCCTGAAGTAATGTGGGAAATTTTGATATACGTCACATTATGTCTTGGATGTCTATCAAGTTGTGCTTTAAACATTTAGCCTGCAGACAAATTTTAAGACAATTATAACATTAATAAAATTCCTCCTCCTCCTACCCTCTGTAAAGCTTAAATACAGTGTATTAAGAATGTAGAAGATATAAATTAAGTTGACAATTATAAATATTAAAGTGCTTAAAATCCTTAAATGAATTCTAAATGATGTGCTAGTAAAATTAATTATTCACATCCTGTTTTTCATAAACCACATTGACATAAATAATTTAAAAAAAATCAGGATATTTTGTAGATCTTAATTAAAATTAAGTAACATTACATAAAGCCATATATCAAGAAAATGTGTAAATATTGTGCAAAGGTAGCTATATGGTGGATCTATATTAAGTATAAAACAGAGTCATTACATCTCAAATCAATTCACTTGCAAAGACATAGTTTGTAACTAATTTCAATGTAACACAGTGATAAGGATGCTGAACAAAGTGCTGCATGTAAAATATTGAGAGGCTGAGATGAGAAGACTTGTTTGCAGACAAGCAGTTGCCCTGTGAAGCTTTGATCAAACTCCAGGAGGCTGAAGGAGAAAGCAGGATTGAAAGCAGCTGTTTTTATTATCATTACTTTATGACATATGGGGCTACTGAAGCTGCACTGCAGCCAAGCATAGGAAAAAAAAGCGGTGCAAAGACACTCACACAATGGCACATCATTATTGCTGTGAGAGTTTTCAGATTATCTTTGCTTTGTGCTCCATAATGCACACCTATTAACTGTTTCATTTTGTTATTTACTTAGTTGCCAATCTTAAATGAGCAGTGAATTTACCTGACTTGCCAAAATATCAAATTGCGTCGCTGATAATACCAGCTTCTTATAAAGAAGTATTTTACAACATAATGTCTATTCTAGATGGTTGTGAAAATTATATACAGTTGAACTTTGGTATTTGGAACTTAAATATATCTTGAATATTATAGATATGTTGAAGTGAATTAATTGGAAGTCCCATTCACCATTTCTTTTTGTATTCCTGAATACTCAGATATCACAAAGTTTTTTTTCTTGGTCCGATCGAGTTCATGATAATGGGTTTTGGCTCTATATGGTATTCATTGAAAAAAAGCACACAGAGTGCTAGAAAATTAAAAATTTTGTGCATGGGATATAGGTGCCTCAGATTCAGTTCACATAGATCACAGTGATGGACACTTTAAGGGGCACATGTATAAATGGCAAATACATGATGCATTTTGATTGCTTATACAGTATAGCAGCCATTTTAACATGTGACAATGTGACAGATAGATGCTCGCATTCAAATTTTTCTTGCCTAACAACCCCCCCCCCCCCCCCCCCAGCTCCTCAGAAACAATATTAAGCTATCATACACTCTTACAGGAACATTTGAAATGTCAATGGAGGCTGAGGAGGATATATATGAAGTCATAAACATCGGGAAGATCAAGGCACACACCCCTAACCTGAGGATTGTCAACATGTACGGAATCACCTTTATTGATGACACCCACATTGAGCTACTCACCTCCAACTGTATCCACATTGAAACATTGGCTCTGAATTTCTGTCTCAGAATAAAAGGGTCCTCTTTCAAATCCTTGGTGCAAAGATGCAAAAAGTTGAAAACTCTTTTACTGCAACATACAGGTATACATCATTAACAACTTTATGACTTTTATGATTGTAATATTTAATATTGTAAATATTATTCAGTATTCATAAATTATATAGAAATATACCATAAATATTAGCTGTATCCTGATGCAAATACATTCAAACTTGATATCTGAACATTGTGAGACAGTTAGGCCAAACAAAAAAATATGTGTGGTTCCGGTTACACCTCCAAAAAAATTAGGGTAGGTAGGTAGGGATTTTTTTTTTTTTTTTTTTACAAAATGATTTTCTTGATTTTTCTAAATAATACCTATCACTGTTTAGCAAGTGGCATTTAGATGTGGCATTATAATATACTAGTCAACGTTGGTAAGGTACACCTACATGCTAGATTGCTTTGGATTTGACACTATTAAAAACTTGCTTGTTGAAATGATGTTCTGCAAGGAAGCCAATATTGCTGAAACTAAAACTAATACCGGAGCCCATGATGGAAATCAGGGAAAATTCTGGAATAAATATGAAAATTGCGGAAAAAAGTTTAGGGTCGGGGGTATAAAATAGGGACTGTCGGGTAACCGGAACCACACATATTTTTTTATTTGGCCTTATATCTTGATACCAAGGTTGCAATTGAGATTTTGTAATTTACAATAAGGCCAAGTCCTCCAAGGTAATATTCGACATATTTATATTCACTAAGTTACTGTTCACAGAATGTATACAGGTCCAAAAAATTGGACTTGGGACATGAAGATGCGGGCTACAAGGAATTTAATGTTATTTATATCAGCCCTCAAGGAAGTAAAATCCAGTAGAGATTTGGACTTCCATAAAGTGCAAATCTCAGATTTGTTTTTTTGTTTTTTTTTTTTATAAGAACATGATCTTTATGTTATGTATAGGTGTTGAGGATCACCACATGATTGCTGTCCCTTGGGAGACCTCCATTATCTCGGAACTCGATCTCACCTCTACTGAACTGTCAACGGAATGTCTAGAGAATATTCTACTTCGCATGCCAGGCTTTACCTACTTAGCTTTAGGATACTGTGAATTCTTTTCAGATAGAGTATGACTTTCAGTATAATAAAATAAAGTAAAGATTATAGTGAAGTAACATTAATACATGTATTTTCTTGCCATGCAGTCAGGATTTAATACTAAATGTCCTGTTTGGAAATAGCTGTGAAATTAATTAGAATCCGTTTTATTCATGTATCATTTAACATGCATTTGAAATATAACACTTACCGTATTCTATAATGTAATTGAATATTTTATAGATTTTAGATCAGCTGTCACAGAAAGGAAAATTTAACAAGCTCCGAGCACTAGATATCAGCCACACCCATGCTCTCTCTGAGAATGCCATCTACCAGTTCCTGCAGTCTCATGGCCACCATCTGACAGGACTCATGTTGTGTGGAAAACCCAAACTGACTGAAAACTTCTGGTTGAATGTCATAGGATTCCTAACAAGCATCAGGTAGCAATTGATGACTACTTCATAGTAGAATTACTGTGTAGGCCTACATGCACGATAATTTTTTTTAGCCCCCGTTCTGTTTTCGCTCCTTTCACATGTAGTACCCTCATCGCAATTGGGCAAATTTATAACGAGTCAAATTCAAGAAAGACTGCGTAAACTCTGTAACACAACTAAGTCTGGAAAAATCTAAAATGGGGCAAAATAAGTGGTAAAGGGCAAAAATAAGATGCCCGGTAAAAAAAACCCCTGTACCTACAGTATGTGGAGATTTCAGGCTGATCATCAGTGCCATTCAGTTAAATCTCTCTTCTGGTGTGTTTGATTTACTCCAGGTATATTTTACTCAGATATTAGTGTTTTAATAGTGAGTATTGGTTGCAGTTACAGTTATTGACCTAACGACCTTTAAAGGTCATCTCATCTCCATTTGGATCATTTCAGGAATATAAGTCCACATATAGAACTAGGCTTGACTAACAAAGTTAGAGAGCTCTCAAAATGGGTAAAAAAAAAAAAAACTGTCCAGAAAAATAGGGTTAGTGCATATTCTTTGAATATATAATGCACATACTTACACCCCTAAAAAAAAAAAAAAAAAAAAAAAAACATTGATTCCAAGTCAGTTAGGTTTAGAAACATGTATTTAAAGTATGTCCCTCCAGCAATCTGTGTAATTAACCATGCATTGGGAAATTGAGTTTGGAAGGCTCCACTGAGTGAGATACATTCCTGTTTTAGAGGCACAATTACTCTCATCTTATTTTTCTCAATATGCTTAGAATATTCACAGAATCATATGTTGAAGTCATTTGTTGGTATATTTCTACGAGATGGTTGGCTTTTGTTCCTGTGATGTGAGAAATTCTTTTGGCCATATTTCAAGATCAATCTCTGTTCTATTGTGTTCCTCCTCCGATTTCCCTCTCAGGCAAACAATCTCTTCTGTATATATTCCAATAAGGTGTTACATTTCACATTTTGGCGTCTTACAATGTCTCTAAAGACAATTAAGGAAGAACTGTTTGCTTTTATATTAGCATTACATAATATATTAATTGCTAATTAGCTAAGTGACTTAAAATAGGTAAGGGAAAATGGGTACCGGTAATTGATTACAAAATATTGCATTATGGGTTACTGGAAAATATATATTGTACAATTGATTAATTCAGATAAGATTTTCTTCTCTTTGTAAATTGTAAGAAATTTTGTCTTCTCTTTGTAAATTGTAAGAAATTTTGTCTTCAAATTTCTAAATGTTGATAATTTTGTATTTTCTCTTGTCTGCTTGCATAAAACTAGAACTAATAAAGCTCATAAGAACAAACTTAGCCAAGGGCTATTTTGTCTAATGACATTTTTATATACATGTAATATGTATAATTGCAATTAAATCAAAACAGCACACAACCTCACCTAAATAACATTAAATTTAATTTCCCTATTTTGTTAAAAAGAAAGAAATAGTTCTATGTTCTTAAATTTGTATATACAGTCAAACCTCGTTATCTCGAACTAGATGGGACCAAGTAAAAACTTCGAGATATCAAAGGGTTCAAGATACCAAAGTTCAACTGTATCTTATGAACTCAAGTCCTTGATCAACAAATAAAATGATGAATCACTGAAAAATTGCTTGCACTTATTGAAATTGTAGCAATTACCCCAGTGCCCAGTTTTATTATTACCAGTACAATGTATATACCATATATGTTCATTGACAAGTTATTTATAGTAACTGCATGAATTTTCATTAGTATTTGATTAGCATTATGATGAACTTTATGTAGTGAGGCTTTAGTTTGAAAGAGTAAATTGGATTCCCAATTTTTTGTAGCCAGTCTTGCTAACGAACTTCATGATAGATTGTGGAGTAGATTATTTTATTATTTCTAAGGCAGAAATTGTAACATCACTTCAAGTAGAGCATTTAGTTTCAATCAAATTTTCAAACTGATATATCTTGAGTATTTTATCACTGTAATTATACATTTCATGACCAAATTTGTTGAAATCATTTCTTAAATAAACTAATAATATACATGCATGTGTAAAAGACTGAAACTGACAGATAAAAAGAAAGAAGATATGCATTTTGATGCAACTATTTGCTTGCTCAGTTGGAATGATCCGAGTTGCTGATTTAAGCAATTTTGCACTCACTTGCCATCAATAATAATCTTTATTAATATCTAACATCTGTTCATCAGTGCTGCAAACATTGATTGTGCATTATAAATTTTATTTCATTTAATTTCCATGAAAAAAAAAAGTCAATAAAATATAGATTATTGAGCATGTGTGATTAAACGAGAGCAAAAGACTGCAGCTTCAATTTATCTATGCATGGCTGTGGGTTTAATTTTCCTGTTTGTTAGATACATATAAATTTAAATCCTCAAGTACTAAAATCTTGAATCAGATGCTCTGAATGCTGTGAAATATTGATCATTAATTGTAAAGAATCTGCCTGCAGTAGCAATTTCTGCGAGAGACTGCTGGATACAAATAAGACTGCATGACAAAGAGGGTAATACCAAAGTTATATCCTTTGGTATCATGTTCCATTAAATGCTTATTCTTAGCTTTATAATCCCCCTGGCTTGTTTTGCAAATCCAAAATCAATTTGACCATCTTATTTTTCTGTCATCTTTCATCAGGAGGAGGAAATGTAGTGTCTGGGGAGGAAGAGAGATTTTCTTTTTTTAGCATTTGTAGGCTTGATGGTCTGTCAACCAACTGGAAGGTTAATGTCGGTGACTTGATTGCAGTGTATTTTAGGAATTGAATCACTCAAAATAAATCTGAATAAAGGTGTCAAACCTGACTTGAAATGATTGTAAAATTATCTGTCCATTTCCAGATAAGTATCTAAATCTTCTTAATGTCTAGAAGGATGGGTTGTCTATAAATTAGATTTATTTAAAGGTGACACCATCCTCACTCAATTTAAAGAAAGAAAAAAAAATTTGAGCAATATTTTATGGGAAAACTTTCCCAATGAAATATGCAATTTCAATTAATATCCATGATATTTAAATTATCAGGTCACTAGCTCAAAAATGAAAGATTTTGTAGAGATTAATGTTTTAAAACTTGGAATTTATGTTACTTAAAACTTAAATATTACTAATATCCCAACATTTCAATTCAGAAAAATAAATAGCGACCATTCCCCCCCCCCCCCCACCGCCTTCTCTCTCTCTCTAAAACTCGATCAAACATTTCTAGAGATTGGCTACTTAATAGTCACAGGTTATTACAATGCACTGTCAGATCAAGTAATGCTTCATTTTCAATTGTCTCAAAATTTGCCTCATGTCTTTTTTGACCCCCTTTTGTGTAAGAAATTGTTGAAAATTTGGAAAATTTCATTAAATGAGTACAGGGTTACTTCCCTTTAAGAAGATTAACATACATGTATACTTATTTAGCTACTTGACCAGTATTTTAATTACAGTCAAACCTTGTTATCTTGAACTCAATGGGACTGAGAAAAAATTGGGAAATCTGAAAGTAAGAGATATTGAGGTTAAATTACCATGAGAATATAGTGGTTGGGACTTCCAAATCACTTTGACATATCCATGGTATTCAAGATATTTGAATTCAAGATACAAAGTTCAACTGTATATAGACATTTACTCCTCTATTGCAGAGTTTGTGTACTAGGCACAGCCAATGGTTGGTTCCTTAGGATCCAGAGCAAGGTGCACATAGATCAGGTGATTGAAGGCTTTGCCCAGAATTGTCCTCGACTGGAGAGACTTGAGATTCAGTGGGACCCCGACACGATCAGGTTCAGTGACAAAAGCAACAAGTTTGTGGATCACATTAGGTGAGCTCATCGATCAGTGGCATGAGAGTCTGATATTGGGAAGCATTTAGAATGTGTACAAGAAGTTTACTGGTGTTTTTTTTTTTTTACTTTCACCTAAAATAGAGAAATGAGACCTCAAGCACCTGCATACTTTTTGGCTCACCTGAGCTGAAAGCTCAAGTGAGCTTTTCTGATCACCCATTGTCCGTCATCCGTCCGTCTAGCTGTCTGTCCGTCCATCCGTCTATAAACTTTTCACATTTTCAACTTCTTCTCAAGAACCACTGGGCCAATTTTAACCAAACTTGGTACAAAGTATCCTTGGGTATTTAAGGGGAGTTTAAATTATTAAAATAAAGGGCCAAGTCCCCTTACAAGGGCAGATACTGGTAATCAAGAAAAGACAAAAATAGGGTGGGGTCATTAAAAAATCTTCTTCTCAAGAACCACTGGGCCAGAAAAGCTTAAACTTAAAATATGTGGAAGCATCCTGGGATAGTGTAGATTCTAAATTGTTCAAATCAGGACCCCCAGGGGTAGGGCGGGGCCACAATAAGGAATCCAAGTTTTACATTGAAATATATAGGAAAAATCGTTAAAAATCTTCTTCTCAAGAACCATTAGGCCAGAAAAGCTGAAACTTTCGTGGAAGCATCCTGGGGTAGTGTAGATTCTAAATTGTTCAAATCAGGACCCCCGTGGGTAGGGCAGGGCCAAACTAGGGAATCCAAGTTTTACATTGAAATATATAAGAAAAATCTTTAAAAATCTTCTTCTCAAGAACCACTGGGCCAGAAAAGCTGAAACTTATGTGGAAGCATCCTCGGGTTGTGTAGATTCTAAATTGTTCAAATCAGGACCCCAAGGGGTAGGGCGGGGCCAAACTAGGGAATCCAAGTTTTACATTGAAATATATAGGAAAAATCTTTAAAAACCTTCTCAAGAACCACTGGGCCAGAAAAGCTGAAGCTTATGTGGAAGCATCCTGGGGTAGTGTAGATTCTAATTTGTTCAAATCAGGACCCCCGGGCTTAGGGTGGGGCCACAACAGGAAATCCAAGTTTTACATTGAAATATATATGAAAATTTATTAGAAATCTTCTTCTCAAGAACCACTGGGCCAGAAAAGCTGAAACTTTAGTGGAAGCATCCTCGGGTAGTGTAGATTCTAAATTGTTCAAATCATGACCCCGGGGGTAGGGCGAGTCCACAGTAGGTATTACAAGGGGAGAAATCTGGTAAAGAACAGCATGGCCAAAGTTACTCAGGTGAGCGATGTGGCCCATGGGCCTCTTGTTTTTTTTAAATTGTTAAAAAAAAATTCCCTTTTAAAATACTGTATAGCCTAAAAACAATATAGAAAAAATAGTCAAGCAAATTATAAAAAGAAAATATATTTTAAAAATATAACATAAAAAATGTAAAATGATGAATCAGAGAATGTTTTATATCCTTGTGTCAGTCAGATATTACCGGTACTGATATTTGATACATTTATTGGTATTTAAATACTAAAAATTTGAGATCATTGGTGATTGCCAGCAGCTGTTGGTGTTAATTCTCTGTTTTATATAAGTCTGGTGTATTGTGATACATTGTATCCATTAAATATCCATTAACCAAACAATTGATTTTCTGTAATATATAAGTACTGAGTAACAAATAACAAATACTAAAAATCATTAGAGTTTCTCTTGTATGTTTGTTTTTCGTTCATCATATGCACTCGTTAAATAACGTACAGTTAATTGTCACGTAATTCTGATAATGCTAGCAAGGAGTAGGGATAAAGTTGGGTGGATGTATATTGCTTTCATTCATTTTCACTTCTAGAAGTGTGAGTTTCTTGACTTCATATAGAGGCAAGTAAAATAAATAAGGCAAAATAGTTTTCACATGACAATCAAATACTAGGGAAGTCAAAAAATACAAAAAAAGGGCAGCCTCTTCCCTCAAAATGGCCCTAACTCTCACTGCTAAGGTCCTTAAGAAAACTTCATTTAAAAATTTGAATCTTGCAGAAGATACGGCATTTCTGATTTTATCAGGAATTTGTATAATAAATATCCATCTTTTTTTTTTTACCCCAGGTTGAGGTGTCCCTACCTTAAGTCTTTCACCCTGAGTGATGGCGAGTATTATGAGATGGTGAAGTCCAATTTCGAAAGGGCAGACAGACTGAAGGTTGTAAGGACGACAACCAACTACTGCACCAGTATCGTGTGCCTACTTCATTGCTACAAAGATCTCTTATTTAACTGAATCCACTCCTGCTTCATTCACCAGTCCACTGCCAGACAAAAGATTTAGCCCACTCCACCAAGTGCCACACAGATCTCTAGTTCGATTCTCTTCACCAACTATAAAATTCAACAGATCATTTATAGTTTCAAATAGGCAACTGCCCAGAAAATAACTACTGTACATTGTAAATGTAAACCATAAGGCTTAGATAAATTTCTTATCATTATCAAATACCTTGACCATTGTAGGATTGATTGATATATGCAAAATCTTGCTGTATTATCTACAATTAAAGAATGTATTAGATACATGTAAGAATTACTGTATCTATAATTTATTTTGGTATTCAATACCATCTACAAACACTTCAAGAATTATATACATGTACATGTAAAATGGACTCTAGCTGATACTTATCTATTAATAGATCTGATATATTTTATGGGACTAAATATGTAAACTTTCCTTCCCCTAATTCAGATTTTAAACTTTCAGAAAATATATCAGATCAGCGAAACTTTAACCTACATTTTCATGACAGAAATGTTACTGTTCACTTAATGTTGATAATGGATTCTGTATGCTAGTTGGATTTTGCCAGCACTACTTGATATTCTTATTGATCTTTTATTGTATTGACTAAATAGTACTGTATGTTACTACATGTACCTGGTAAATATATAGTTATGGCCGCCACTTATCATACTGAAACATTCAAAATGAAAAAAAAAAAAAAAAAACTATGTGACATATTACATAGCTATAAAAAGGATGCTGCAATTCAAGAAAAAAAAAGGATTTTTATCTATCACATTTTAAAAGGAGTTGTTGCATGCTTCAGGAAGCATAACTGTTAGTGAGCTTGTTTTACTCCTGTCTGAGTCTTCGCCAATCTCCACACAACATGACTTATTTGTAGTCTAATGACTACCTGTAATTGCTTATAAAATCAGAGAATTTTTTTCTTCTTCATAACGTCTATAATAAACAAGTTTATTTCATGACTTGTAAAATTGGTTAGTCACAGCCAATTTATGATCAAAGCCCCCTTCTCCCCTTTTCAAAGATTAGGTGATAAGTTATAGAAGTGGTGAAAATTTTGGAATTTTAAAAGATGCATTCTCAACAACAGAGAAAACTTTTAAAAAGCTCATTCCTGCAGCCAGCAACCAGATACATGTGTATATAACTTATATCATTATGTACATTTATATTTTGATAAATGGGAAGATAGTTTATTTTGAAACAGCTGGACTGTTTAAATTTACCAAATTAGAAAATGTTTTATTTACCAAAGAGTGCTGTAAATGCAGTGAGAAGTTGATGTATGTTATGTATGGCACTGTGTAATATTGATTCCTTATAAATTGGTACTATCAAAATTACTATGCAGTTTATTCTGTGTGTCAGATGGAATGTTGAAATAAAGAGGAATTATTAAAGAAATTAAGACTTGTTATTTAAACTGCAGTTGGTTGTATGATTGAAATTTCTTAACCAGAATTTCCAGATGTAAAAAAAAAAAAACAACAAAAATAGAGGAAAAATATTGCTTTTAAAGTTAATTTTTATTTTTTTAATAGCTGAAAATAGTGTTTACAAAATACATGTACTTGTCGGCTATTATCACCTTGATCCATGGAGGACCACCACTATGAAAGTTTTCACAATCCAAGGGCCATAACTGCATGACTAGTTCAAACTTTATTTTATGCAAGTAAAATGAATAAATTTAGCCATATAAAGTTTCATTTTTCATTCAAAGTTTCTCAATGTCCTATAAAGTGATAAATATATGGGTGATGGCAGAGAGGAATAAATTTGGACATCATGGAACATTTACAGTTTCTTAATGGTTTGGTTTGAACATATTTTATTGTCTATAAACTTTACAAATGGGATTGGGCAAAAGTTCTTTTAAAAAACTTAATACGCCCTCTCCCTACATATGAATTATACCAAACATATTTACATATATGGGTTTCAGCTTAAAATGAATAAAACACAGAAAAGCATAATAATCAGAGAAACATTATACAATACACAAGCTGTATAGAATTTGCAAGAATTAATTATTGCATCAACCAAAACGACCTGACTTTTTAATAAATTTTTGTACAATGGAAAATAAGTATTCATTTTCAACATTATTTAACGTTTCATCTCCCCAGAGTAATGTATGAGTATCAACAGTATGTAATTTTCCCATTTGTAGAAATCTATCGAAAAATTCTTTTCTAGCTTCTGTTTATTTTTTGCACGAGAAGAAATAATGATGAGTGTCCTCCACTCTTTCACAGGAACACAAGGGACTCAAAATTATATTACATCGAAAAAGATCGCTATTAAGTACACAGTTGTTTTGAAGTCTTGTATGTAATATATTTAAGCGTCGATTTCCGTAACTGAAGTAAGAGGGTGGCATAGTTTTATTATAAGAAAGAGACTTTTTAAAAATAGATAATGAGGAAGAATTTCTTACAATAAGAGGTAATGAGTTCCATTCATCAACAAGGGGAATGAAAGTTGACTTATAGGTTTGTAATCTGCATTTGGATATGTTATAGTTATGTGAATTTCTCGTACTGCAACTTGATGAATTACAACGCAAATTTGGGATTATATCAGTCAGATATTCAGGAACTTGATTATTATAAATTTTGTACATTGTAGTTAATCTAGTATTTTTCCTTCTTTCATGTAATGGTTCCCATCCAGTTTCAAAGTAAAGTGCATCTTTAAAAGCTAACAGAGTTAAGCCTGTGACAATTCTAGCAGCACATACCCCGGTAATTGTAATTTTTCTAATTTTTCGCTATGACCTACATTACACCCACCCCACACCAGGGAAGCATATTCTAATTGTGGCCTAATAAAGGTCATGTACATGAGTGAAAGAGTTTTCCGATTTACTACAAATTTAAGTTTTTTTAATAAGCCCAATTTTTTATACGCATTAGCTAGAATAGTATCAATATGTGTAGACCAACTAAGATCATGTGAGAAAAAAAATCCCTAAATGTTTATGCGAAGAGACAAATTCTATCTGACTTTGCTGGAAAAAGAGTTAAGGATAATTAACACTTCCTCTCAAGTTGAAAAATATTGCTTTAGTTTTAGAAGAGTTGAATTTAAGAAGCCATTTTTTTGACCAAATTTCTAGCTTGTTAAGATCATAATTCAGTTTGTTTTTGATAGTATTGACATTTTTAATATTTATATATGCAAAATTAACTACCAAAATATGTCCAAATATATATACCAATCCAAGCATCCAATTTTGTTGTTTGTATCATGTATTATTGCTTCCAAAAACACCTTCTTCAAATGACCATGAATACAAAAATTTATATAATTCTCTCATAATTAAATGCTTCCACTGAAAGTTTATGTCTGTAAAGTTAAAAATATGAATTATATGTATCAACATTTGGAAATACCTGTATATAATAATTTTTATTATTTCATGTTGGAGCTCTTTAACAAAACAGGATAAAGCAAGATACCAAAAGAACATTCATAATTATTTTATTCCTCAAAGGATTCTCTAATAAAAAAGATATAATGAAATTGTTTTATCAAAAACCATCAAATATGACATATATTTGTTGCCAAAATATTTTTTCCCATGCATTATAAAATTACCTTGCTTAAAGCCAGGTAGCTGGGAGAGTATAATTATGTCACTCAATGGTGAATTATTCCATCTGAAAGAAACCGTAACGTCTAGATTTGTAGCTACAGGTGTTTATTATAATTTGTTAATATACCCTTGGGCATTTTCTTTTATTCAAATTTGCCACCCAAAATTATTTTTGAAAATTGTAAACTATTAAGTGTGAAATATATTAATTTACAAAATTTAAGTTTGCTTGAGGGACATACAATTTGCCAATCCAAAGGTATAAATGCAAGATGAACATAAAATCTTGTCAATGGTGTTTGAAGACATACCAAAGAAAGAATATTTCTTGATCATATTATATATATGCATTTCATACTGCAGGGAGTTAATGACCATAATTGTGACTCACTATTTTTCACTGGCTCTCCTGAGATTGGTTTTGTAAAAGATCATAAAGATGAAATTAACTGGAGTGACCACTTCACTATGGAACTCATTTGAATTGTGACATTTTCATGGTAAGTTCCAAGTTTCTTTTATTACTGCATGTACCTACTTATTTCAATTGAAGGGGGGGGGGGGGCTTATTGTGAAGTCAGTCATTGATGGTAATCAAATAATCTTTGGAAAGCTATTTATCTTCAAAAACAATTATTTATATAAAAGATATTAAATGTTGTGTATTAATTAATTAACTAATACATTCATTTCAACATCTTTGATTAAATTTTGAAACACAAAAGATTGTAATTTAACAGATATTTCATTTAAAAAAAAAACCCAAACATTTTCAACATTTTAAATACAATTTAAACAAAATTACTTTTAATTTTTCATTTATAATCCAGTCAGATACTATTATTTATTTCTTTTTTCTTTGTTTTTATCTAAACAAACAACACATAACTGATTTCAATGACATCTGTATAATTGGTCTGGGACTGTAAACAAACAGGTGTGAGTGTATATACAGTAGAGTATTGCCACTGTCTAATTATTGTTTTGACAAGTTCAGTACACAAGGAACTCATGGTGTCATCACAATTATCACTCAGGGTCTACTCAGCCCTCAAGTCAACAGATGACACCAAACAAACAATATAAATCCAAATTTCTCTCAACATTCAGCAGAATAACTTCCCATTCATTGCAGGACTAACACTAAAAATGTGTGCTCTAATCCTACTTTCTTAATTTTAACACTTGCAGTCATAGTGATTATGGATGGAATCTTAAAATTGAACTGTTAAAGAACTACATGATTCTTCAATGCAAAATAAGGAGACAGAATACATAAGGTAAGTACAAAATGTTATGCATCGATTTTTGAACAATCCTTTTATTATGTATGTAAAATTTGTTAAAGAATTTTGATTTCTCTTTGATAATCATGCACAGATAGCAATCAGTCACACCTGAATAACTGTACAAATGGTACACCTGTCTATCAATCCAATTAAATATCTTTCAAATTGTGTATTGGTTTGGAATCCTTTCAAAAAGAATTCAAATTAACTACCTTTACATTACTGCATCACCTTAGCTTCTGTTCTGTGCTAGTCTTTATTGTGCACCAGCACTATAGTCTGCTGACATGGGAATATAAGCATACCAGTAAATATAATTTAACTATCATGTAAAGGTTTTCTTTCCCCTTCCCTTGTACTTGCTATGTTCTGGTAACACCTGATCACTAGCACTAGCCTGTGCTGGGATAGGAGTTACATTCTCATCACTTCAGATAAAAAGAAATGAGTTACTTACCTTGTTCTCTATGGGACTTTTGGTTTCCTGGTACCTGTTAGGTGCTTATGGGAGGTCATCATTAGCACTAGCCTGTGCTGGGAAACCATGTCCTTGTTACATGTACCATGCTGGAAGAAAGATAGAGTAACTATGGGTACAGTGACAATATTTCTAATCAAAATAATGTTTGTGTATATGTAATTCAAATATTGGAAAAATGAATTCAAGAATATTTTTTGTGTATAAAAATTAAATTAATTAAAAAAAATATGCAGTAAATTTCTTTTTGTGTGAAAGTATTTTTACTTAATTCTGACTGAAAGTTATAATGCTCCATTGATTGTATAAGCATTTTGTCTTTCTCTAATTAATTACCTCTTTTGTGTATTGGCTGGGATTAAAAAAATCAAACATAATTATTTATTCTTTAATGCCAACTCAAACTAGCTGTGCTCTCTAAGTGACAAACTCTTGTGTCTGAAAAAGATTCTCAGCATTCTCAAAAATATTCATCAGGGTGATAACCCCTAAAGACCCACTGAAGAAGACAGAATCTCTCTACTGCTACACTATCATCTCAGTTCATGCTCTGTGCTTGTCTTTATTATGCACTAGCACTAGTCTGTGCTGGGATGGGAGTGTAGCCCATCACTAAGAATTTAAAGCAAGGATTGTAAGCACCTGCTATTTCCTTTGAAATACTCTCCTTGCACATTTTATGTGCTGGTCTTCATCAAGTTACTAGCACTAGTCTGTGCTGGGAGAGAAGCCTCATTCTCTAAACAATACATCTCATTCCTCTTTTTCTCCTGAAAATCTTGGTTTCCTGGTACATGTTATGTTCTCATGAGTCAAAGTCATAAGCACTAGCCTGTGCTGGGAAACCATTTTTTTCTACATCACCATTGGTGATACGATATGCTGAGTACCAGTAAGATTTTCATAGAAATTCATAGCTGTAGTGTTTGCCTATTTCTAGATCCTTTCCTTGTACTTGTTGTGTGCTTGTGTGCATTTGGTCACTAGCACTAGCCTGTGCTGGGAGAGGAGTTTCATTCTCGTCACACAAATCAAA